ACTTCCAATGTCTTCCCAGGTTATATGAAGATCCCCACGGGCGAGACGTTTCAGTGTGGCGTGCGAAAAGCTTCGGAGGATGTGTCCAACTGCGCCCCGGCATGGTTTTCCATGGGTTTTCCATGGCTTTTCTACCTGTTTTCCACCGGTTTTCCATGGGAAAATCATCTACAATCCACAACCGATGGTTAAACACGATCAAACTAGTTATGTAATTAGTCATAACATATGATTTGATATGATTTGATGTGATATGATGTGATATGGTATGATATGATACGTATGATTGAAAGATCGAAACCATCGGCTCGGAGATTGTTGACATCCTGAATCAACAAGCATTGCCATGGCTTACCAACAGGGCATGGGGATAGAGCCAATTCAAAACGGATGGTCAAATAATGACAATTTGTGTGGGTTGATTCGGAATGGCTGCCCACAATTTTGACTCCCTGCTGCCCTACTTACACAAAACCACAATAGTCGGAAAACAACCCTGTGGCAGATGATTATTTTAAAATATTTTGAAATCCTGATGATTTTAGGTGAATTAGTTGCACTCCATTCCGGCAATGGAGTTCGATTAAAGCTAAATTCTTTCGGAGGTTCCCGGAGGTATATTGTTTTTTCTTGAAATTCGTTCAGCAAGGCGTGACCGGAGGGTATGATGCTTGTGCCCTAAGGCCTAGTGGTGTCGGAATGCGATGTCGCATGAGAGCAGCAGCCATGCGTAGACAAGATACCTTGACATCCACATGCAGCAACGCGCAGAAGTGCACGAACAAAAGGGTGCTGTCGGGGAAGGAATGGGGCAAACCCAATAAACCATCTGTCATGAAGGGTTTGTTCCATTCCCACTTATATAATGATTTTTTGGCACTGCTCCAGGTGTGCCTAACAGAAGTGCTTCCATCTTCTAAAAGGTTAATCTTGGACATTCAGAAATGTGATAAGCCCAACCAGAAACCAGGCACAATACCTAACATGTTTTTTTCTCCCACGCTTTGCCAGAATAGGGACATATCCACAGTATCCACAGTATCGTATACCAAATAGTGAACCCCAATATTGGGGATGGTGCGTTGAAATTAGGTACCACATTCCACAGCTATATGCCAGGTTCCAGTTTGAAATTTGGGACTAACCAGTTCCCAAAGTCATGGACCATCCTCAACAAAGAAAGAAAAAACGGTACCCGGTACCTTCATGTGAGGGAGGTAATGCACGTAATTTTTTGGTAGGATTGAATTGAATTTCAGGCCATACGGCCCAACAATTCGGATTGTTACAACAAGTAGTTCCTTCTTTTGCACCTGAACTGGCCTAAAAATGTGCTTTTCTGCATTTGTTCGGGGTCTTGTGGATTCCATTGGCCCTGCAACTTTTCAGAAATATGTTGCATCCAGCTATTGATGAAGTAAACACATGTCCAGCATTCCAGCACTAACATAATCCCAAAAAGCCTGGTTAGATTCACCAGAACCAGCCACTTGACATGTTTCTTTCCATAGATAGCTAAGGCTCCACCATGGCAATGGTTGTAACTGATGTGGGAACTGCTCACAATGATAACGAAAACTGAATGGGAAAATCATCCCACTCTACTAATAAGTTGTTGATACAGATTGTACCTTGCTTTACGTACTTCAATTCTTTTATCTGTTCACATAAACAGTACATAAACATAATATATCATATATATCTGATGAATATGGTTAACCACATGTAAACTATCATAGATGTGGAAAACCCACCATGAATGCAGATCATTTTTGTATGATTACCCTAGTTCACCTATTTTTTAAGCATTCACCCACCATCCCCTCATCTATCACCACTGAGATTCCAATACATGACCGTTTTTGTCAGTCAAATCCCCATGTTGGCACTTTTCCATCTGTCTTGGTTTACCTTCGAGTCACCTTCCCCATAGCTAGCCGAAATGGCCCATGGTTTTGCGTGCAGACCAGCAGCCTATCTCGCATTGGAGTGGCAGCTGGTGACTACTGCACTAGCACCACGGCTGCGGCGCGTTTTACACGGGAAACCGTTGGGTGACTCTGGGAGATACAAAACGCGGTGGAACAACCATGGGAAAGCCGTTCGAATTTATTGATCTATATTCATGGCGGGTAGTTTAGCCAACAAGCATGAGGGACCGGGGGGTTAACCAACCGAAATAGGGGCATGCTGGGATGTAATGATGATAAATAAAGGATACATTTGAACTGAAGGGGTCGTTAACCACTATAAATTATCATATAACGCTGGTGTTCATAGTGGTACATTGTTGATATACCAACATGGGGATATAACACTTCATGGTGATATGTGTAGTGATATATCCAACTATGCGAGAGTGGGCATCCCCAAAGTGGTGAACATCCCATTTGGATCACTTATCGGGATATTTGATGTATAAATAAACCACTGGCCAACAATCAATGGATATCAATGGATATGTTTCGAAAATAGCGAGTATGATTGGTTGGGATACCAACCAAAATTGCAGTCTATTTTGATCTGCAGCTTTTCAGGTGTTTCACTCAAGAATGGGAGCAAAGGACTCCAAACAATAGGCGAACGACTGGCCTTATTGGAGATATTGATATATCCTTCTTTTTGGGAGGTTGGTATGGGATGAATTAACAGCTCTTCAGATATGATCTCAATGTTCAGGACGCCTTACTTTTTCTTCACCAAGATTGCCTACTTCAAACTGCCATGTGAACCTGGGAACCCAGGTTTTGTCTTTCCCAAAGTCATTTTCCATACCCCATTGGGATCCAGAATGGCCTGGCTCAACTTAGGCCCACCTTTGCAGGCGACCAAGTTTCTCGGCTTACCAGCCCTCCAAGTAACAGCTTGTATTTAATCCACCGAAATGGCGAATCGCAGGGACATGTTTCGTTATTGTCGACAACCCAGAGAGCACTTGTGCATTAGCGAAAAATCATGGGCCAATTTGATTCAAACATATTCAAAAACAAGACTTGGAGAACTTATTTTTCCTTTTCTATTTTGCCCTCATCATGCTCTGGGAGACCAAACCAGCAGTCCATGTGGATAAAACTGCTGTTTGGTTTCAAAGATTGAGATGCGCTGAAGCTACCCAGAAGATGCGCCAAATATGTTTCTTCCGAAAGGCAAAGCTTCCCGAGGCTTCTTGTGAGCCGAAGTCACGAAGAATTGACGATGCCGAGAAGGGCGCAGCTCTTGGAAGTGGTTCAAAGTTTTTTGGTGATGGGAATCGATTATTGGTGCATGTTTAAGGCACTGAAAAGTTTTTCAAGCGTTTTTGCTGTCTGACATGTGAAAAAAATAGGTGGTTTATTTTTTTTTTGGCGGTGGTGGCCCATTTGATGGCACACTAAATGCGTGGTTCATTGCGAAGTGCCACGTGGGTCAGAAAAATGTTGGTCCCGCATGTCCAAAGTTGGGTTTGAAACATGGGGTTTGGATGTTTGTCCTTTTTTTCATAGAATGACGAAGTTGTTTTTCCCTAGCATCTCGCATGATTGGACAGAAAAACCATGAAGTTTCCGCCTTTGCTAACCACACATTTCAACGAAATTTTGGATTGGAGATATTGAAGACCACCACAAAAGAATGTGATAAAGATGATGAAGACTTTCGAATTGCCATCCACATTTCGCAAGTAGAAAACCATTGCTGTTCCAGAAGTTCATCCCCTAGGGTTTTGACCGTATTCGTCCGATGATCTTACACAAAAATGTTCGTGGCGCATTGCAGCCTTTTCGTTTTTAATTACCAGTTTTTAAGTTGATGCCCTGGGTGGTGTGTGGCGTTGTATGTCAGCTGAACTACCATGGCGGTGGCATGCTGCGATGTCTCCAAGAAGGATTGCAGAACTACATTGTGTTTCCATCATCTATTCATCCATTGCGGGTCGGTGAAGATGTGAACTTTCAGGTCGCGGAAAAAAATGGTCAACTGCAAGCGGTGGATGTGACCCCAGCCAGTCCTTCTGTCTCGAAGAAGCGACAGAAATTGGACAATCAGATGAATCAGATGGGGATCCTGAAAGGAGATCGAGGATCTAAGGGCAAACGTTCTGCACCTGGAAGCATTCATCGTTTGCAGACCAGGACCACCTGAAGTTGAGGATCATTTGATGAATCCATGGTGTGTTGAAAATGGGATATGCCACCAAGTAATCGTTCTTACAAGGAACATGATGATATCATGGTCATTGTACCAGTGAATTTCAAGGAGCCCTAAATTCAGACAGATCCATGTTGAATTTTGTGTAAATCACGTTCCCAAAAGAAGTCATCACATTTTCAAGAACATATTTCTAGGAGATGGGTCGGCCACATTCAACATCCAGAAACAACATGTGTTTATAGAAAAATCGCAGGATTCTTGGGTGAGATGGTGCGATGACAACGCATGATTCATATTTTTGGTGAGTTGGATCTTGTTTGACCCATGGAAGTGACTTACGGTGGTTCTCGTCGTTGATTAACCATGTTCCCAATTTTTTTAAGACATCTTTCTCCATGTTCAAAGCGCCTAAGCACCTAAACACATCCTTTTTCCCATCAAAATCCACAGGATCATGAAATTTCAGAACAGCAGCGCGGATGAACGACTTCAACAGGTGGAACAGGCTGAGTTGGAACTCGTCGAAGTTGTCGAAGAGGATGGGGACGCCTTGCGCCGCTTGCTGAATCGCTGCGTCGCGTGGTTGCGACCTGCCAAGTTTTGCCGAGGTGATGCTGATACCTGTTCGCACTTGGTCGCATGGAATGCCTGGGCTTGCTTAAAAAAATACCATTGAAGGAACATCTATTTGCTTGTTGGTTGTGTTTTTTGAGCGTGGCGATTTTGTAGAAATTCAAGCTTCCAAAGAAAATAGACTTTCGAACCCTAGTCATTTGAGGGTTTCATGCCATATGTCAGGGAGCGCTTTGTTTTGCACTATGGTTTCCAGTTTTACTTGAGCTGTTGTTTTCAGATGGTTGTTTCAATTATTGAACATTACTGCATTTGCTTTGTTCTATTGCAGCTTCACACGCAACATTTCTATGTTCAAACAATCATGATGCATTGATATCAAGAGCCAATTGATCCTGCAGTAGATGGCTCCATAGTTTCAAAATCATGTGTTTCAATCAGCACATGCTGCGACAATCTCCAACGAGCTCACTTTCGTCGGACCTTTCCATCATTTCATTCAGCGGTTCAAATATGTTCAAATCATGTTTGCACGGACTCTTGGTTCCGGATGATTTTTCATGTCCTGAAGTTAGGATTATTTCATGGTTTCAAGTATGCTACCTTGTTATCTTTTCAAGTTTCCAATCCCCCAATTTCTTGAGTGTTTATGATTACACCCTATGTACTTCATCGTCTTCGGCAACTGCCCAGGGAATCCAGGGAAGCATGGAAGATGTCAACCTGTGGAAATTGCAGCATCGCATTCGCAGGATACTCATCACGATTTTGCGTCGTCTGGATTTAGATGATGCTGTGACGTTTCAGCGAGTGGAGGTACGGCAGGTAGGGTTTAACGGTTTCAGGTTGTTTTTTGGTCGCTACCCCCCCTCAACCAAAAAAAATATGAATGGCTCCTCGCAAGGGGAGATGTCTTGGGCGGAATGCATCATGTGCCCTTTCTTCGTTAGAAAAATCCAAGACTTTGGCAAAACATCCCGGGTGTCACTCTTCTGGCACATTTTTTCCCTAAAGATGGCACCAAGAACTGTTGAGACTGACATAGAATAGTGAGAATTTTGCCATTCCTATTTCGAAATTCTGTGTAAAAGATAGTGTCCGTGTAGTATAGTGTGTTTCAGTATTAGCAATGGTACTTTCCCGGCTTGATTGCTGGAGGGTATCTCAAAACCACAACGCCGATATTTAGTTCCTGTAGGTTCATTGGCCCAAAAGCAGACACACTATTGTTTTGGATATAAATAGATAGTGTCAAAGGCTTAGGAAATTGAAGAAAATACAATTATGTATGATATATGTACGCATTGTTTTTCACATTCGAGATAGCCTTCTGCCCAAGAATAAGGATCATGTGATTTCTTTTTGATGTTGGCTGCATGCTCAAAGAATTTCAAACTACTTTCCAAGATAAAATTCGATATTCGAAGCTTTGTTTGTTTGGAATATAGATGCTGGTGTTCCAGGCAGTAGTTTTAATTTCCAAGGTGACAAACATAGATTGTACGGTCATAGCTGGAACCTTAAGAAACAAAGTTTATTTTATGTTTTCCTAGGTGAGAACCTATTTGTGTGAACTAAAGGAGGATCAACACGGCTGATTTAAATTTTCCAGCGGGAAATCCACGAGTTGGATCCCATTCTGAAAATACGGGTGAAGTACGGGTTAGGTACGGTTCAATGCCCAAGAACCCTTAGGGTTTCGGTGCTGCAGGTGGGATGTGCATCTCAACTGGAGACTATAACCACGATTTAACATTTGTGCAGATCCCAAATACAATTGGGTGAACAAAATGGTTAGTGCTCAGGGTTCACACCCTGGGAGCGATGGGCCACTTGGTTAGTTGGTGTGGCCATACTTGTATAGAGGCTACATCCCATTTTTTTGGTGTTATTTGACAATTTATTCAGACCATTGACCATTTATTTAGACCATTTATTGAGACCGTTTATATTCATAAAATTAGAGAGTGGCGCCCCGTTGGGGACTTTGTTTTTGAAGCATATCATCACAACACACTAGCGGTTTTCAACGTGTTTGGAACCAAAATCAATCATCATTCCCCATGGCCGTTGAAGATGAACCATGATGAACCCCAGCATCCCCAGGTGGCCGTGCGCTACCTCCAGAGCTGTCTACCCAACTTGGAAGATCGGCGGAGCATTCGGAGCATCCAGCAGTGGAAAAGCCTGTCCAAGCTGGTAGAAAGTGCGGCGCCAGGGTCGACCCGTAACTTGGTGTAACTGTCGGGTAGACCATCTTCAATAGGACCCAAGGTATGCCTAACTCAAGCCCCAGACACCAATAGATGTTGACTAACTGTATCATAGATACTGTACACCTATACGGTTTAATTGGCATCCCAAAAACATAGAAAAAAATCCTCAGTAACATAGTGGTACACTGAACCTTTTCACCTTTTCGTCATTTTTCTTAAGAGGATTGCCATACAATGCGATACATATGTTATTACATATAGCATATATAGCATATATAGCATATATAGCATATATAGCATATATAGCATATATAGCATATATAGCATATAAATTGCATGTAGCTCCGAGGCAAGAGTTCCCGTGGTCATTGCTTCAAGGGTCACTACGAACCCTCGGCGAACGTCCGCTCGGTGTCCAGCGTTTTTCGTGTCGACCTGCCTGTGAAGTTGCACTGCTCCGAGTGCGGCTTAACGTTGGTCAGCTGCTGGCGATTTCAACATCCCAGGACCAAGGTGGAGGAAGCCCAAAACCAAACGAAAACCATCCAAAATCTATGACATATCCATCAAATATCCATGAACATCATGATATTTCCATGAAATATCCATCATCCAGTAGCATTTTCGGTGATTTTTAGTGGTTGATGGCGATTTCACCCCATCAAGCTTGGTGATTTAAATACAATGTTCATCAATTTTCTTAACCATGAAACCTGGACCACATTGTTTTAGAGACATCTAAGTTCCACCATGGAGGTACATACCATCACTTCAGGAGTAACCTGCAAAAATGCGTGTTAACCCTGTTGATACCAGAAGGAAATCGATATAAACCATCATTCCTGTTTGTTAATACTAACATTTATTGGAGCTAAGGTTTTAAGCAGCCATCCCAGTGCTTTCCGCATGATTCTCAGGTGGAGTCAGTGTTAGTGCCACGGCAGGGCCATCATGCTTGTGAGAAACGATTAAAACGCAGATGTAACTGGAGACTATTGACTGGAAGATGTTCAATTTGTTTTGTGCATTGTTGTCATTATCATTGCTACTTTTCTTATCTTTTCTTTATATCACGTTTTTCAAAAAAAACATCAGAATCGGGAGTTTGCGGGATGCATCCCATACGGGGAACAGTTAACAGTTTTTTTTCCGGCAGGGTGCCTTGTTATTTCGAGGCAAATGGATGGCACCCGATGGATGTAAGTTAAAAGTGGACCATCATCCTCACCTGTTGTTTTGCATCCATCAGCGCTTGAAAATCCAATGCATTCCTTGTGGCGGCCAAAGAGTTTGCCCTCACGGACGGCAGAAGACTGAATGTGACTGGATCGCTGGGGACCACTGGATGATTTCATGGGAAGATCATCGGAGCATTTTCCATTACCATCTTTGATTACCGGAGGGTGTAACACTATGAAACTGGCTGGTGGTTTTGAATATGTGTGTTTCCACCCAAACTGCTTGGGAGAATGGTGCCCAATTGACATTAGACCACCAGCCCGCCAAACAATTGCTGTTTTCTTGTGTCCTTTTCATGTCTGTTCGGTTCTTTGCCCACAGCTGAAAACATTTTTGGTGATAACTTTGCAATGTTTTTTCTTGGAAGGGCATAGTCCCCCCTTCCGCCCGTTCTCACTTCAAGAAATTGAGCAGGTTATGTATAATTTGTGAGGTTTATCACTTTAGTCCCCGACAGCTTCAGGCAAAACCACTTCCACCCTGTTGAACAGCCAGAATCAGCTCAGAAAGGTGGAGCATAGCAATTAAATCCAGTTGAATGCTCTCCCAACATTTCGTGAATCCCAATTTTTGGTCACCAGTCCTGCAGGTAAAGAGTGCAAAGGTTCAAGGATTTGTCCGCACAATCGTTTCAAAGATCGTTGCAAGGAGTGTCTTTCAACCCGACGCCCCAGGGGCCCTAGGGGCTCCAGACTTTTGGCAGTCGCTTTTCGCAGATAGACACTGGGTGTCCCAAAGTGGATCCCGGTGCTGATTTTATTTGGTCAAACCTGCGGTCTGGCCGTTGGATTTTGTTTAGTGAGTTTAAGATGGAACATGCTTGGAAAGGATGCAAAATTGATTTGTTTGCTATTGATGCGGTGCATCAACAAGCACACCATACCGCCCATGTACTAGATTCATCTAAATTCTATTAAATACTATTATTCGGGGAGACCTTCAAAGCTATACCCAAACAAGGTCTGTAAACCCCTTCAATGAATTCAACACTTTGTTTGTCACATGCGTATCCACACAATCTCAAAGATGTGAGTGACCCTACGTCCAGGGACAAGTTGGTGATTTTCTTCCGCTGGTTTGAGACACACCCATGTAGGTCAAATGATTTGTGGTCGCTTGTGGTATTTCATGATATTTCCATGACATTTCCACTCCAGCTCAATAACCAGCTCTTTTCCAATGTAACACATATCATAATACATCTTATTCCATGATATTGCATCTTTATAGATGTGGGTCTGTCATGGTCTGTCTCAAAATGGGGGCACTCCCTAACTCCTACATGTCCATGAAATGGTCATGATATCTGGTTGATATTTCAATGATGTTTCTTCAGTTTCCAATGACATGTCAGTGACTCTCCATGTTTCAATGATATGTCAATCATGTTTCTTTGTTTTCCCATGATATTAGGGAAGTTTTTTATTTCATATTGTACCCGGCAGAAGGCACATGTTTCAAAGATTTACGTTGTTTTTTCTGCCGTTTCAAACAAAGGCCGCGGATTTCCGTACCGAGACAGAATGGCGAATGAGGCTGAGGTCCGAGACGGGCCGGTGTCCATCACTTGTAAATTCAGATGTGGAAAGTGTAAGCGATTTACTAAAATGGTGGGTTTTCCAGGCCTATGCTAGTTTACAGGTGGCTTGCTTACCTGGATCATTATGCGTTTATGTGGTTAGTGGGGTTATAACCTATGAATCGGAGATCCCGAGAAATCGGGGACTTTTTCTTTGGGTCATGAAACACTTGCTTAGTGGGATGATTGAACCTCCAAGTAGAGGTCATCTCCAGGTGTTCATAAAACCGTTCCAGAGCGACCTGGCGGTTGCCCCGGGTAAACCATATAGATTGCAGGGAGAAGGTATCACCCTGTGAATGTTCCACCCCTGTTTTGGTGCGTAGTTTTGAATCTCCATCACGTCCACATCACATGCAGTATGTGATTCGATCGCACTGAATTTTCAACAAAAACAATTCAATAACCATTACCCTTTGGTAAACAAACATAGCTATTGAAAATAGCCCTTTATAGTGGATTTACCTATTAAACATGATGATTTTCCATAGTTATGTTAGTTTACCAGAGGGTAAACTGTGTAGTGCAAAAAAACATATGGTTCATGTCGCTGGACTTACCGTCAGGTAATCAAACAGGGCTGGAAAAAATCCAATTGGTTCGAGGATTTTCCCACTCTGCCGATTTAGTTCGGGGATTTCCCAGCCATGGTTGGCCAATATTCCATGGATCTTCCCCAAAAAAATATTCCATCAAATATCCCATGATATCATGAATCCACATGTTTGGACCTTCCCATGGTGTGCACTTTTTTTCCCATCAGAGGCCTCTCTCTCCGGCTCTACCGGATTCCAGAGCGGCGCAGCTTCCGCAGATCCGACCCTTGCCCAATGGGCGCCTGAGGCAAGCATTTTCAATGGGAAAATCACGGAATTTCATGAAATTAAAGGGCCGGATAACCCCACAAGTCAACTTCTTCCAATAATGTGTTTCAAAGGTTGTAGCGGGGTCGGAGAAGGAAGGAAAGACAAAGGAGGTGGTGAAAGACTGTGTGTGAAAGTATGTGAAAAGATAGTATGCATATACGTATGTATGTATATATATATATTATATATGTATGTACGTACGTACGTACGTATGTATGTATGTATGAATGTATGTATGTGTATGTGTGTGACAAAGTTGCGCATCTGGTGGTGTTTCTTCCACTAGATAGTGACTTGTCACTGAAGGCCAGAAAAGAAACAAGATATGCTTACCACGGAAATTCTTTGTGGATCCAAGGGTGTGTGCTGAACACTAGGTCGCACGACGTGTCTCACTCGCCTTCTTCGAGCTCCACCAGGCTCTGATGGTTTTTTTCCCGACGTTGCTTCCCGAAAGATCTTTTATGGCAGAGCCCTCTATCAAAGCGATGGTGTGCTCTCCATACTTCCGCTGACCAAAGTAATGTTCTGCACTCTTTCGGGCGAAGCCGCAAATTTTGCGAACTCTTTCCGCATGCCCTGTGGCTGGTAATCATACCTGGTATATAGTCATGATCATAAGTGCCACGCCTGCCACGCAAAACGACGGTAGATGTGAGTTTGTGCCACGCCTGCCACGTGAAGCGAAGTTGGATGTCACCAAGTGCCACGCCTGCCACGCAAAGTGGCGCGGCGCCACAGGCGTCACGCCCGCCTAAACCGGGCCCAAGGGCGCCACCCAGTACTCCTAGTTGTGGAAGTCAAAGCGTTTCAATGAAATGTGCGTCCTAGGTGGGGGAGAAATTTCTGGAAGTCGGTGCGATGTTGCGTCCAGTTGGTGTTTAGCATGTTTGTGTTTTCTCCAATTGATGGTTTATCGTGAGTTTTTCATGGATACCATGCAGATGGTTGTAGCTATTCCCTTGTGTTTTGGGAGTTTTGTACATCACTTGTGGCTCGCTCTGTTGTGCAAGATTCATACAAACACCGACGATTACTGGGTCGATGTTATAACAAGTGCCTATGGGGAAAGGCCCGCATGGGCAGCGCCTATCACTTTAACTTACTGATGTATTTTTTGGCACTTCGCATAGGCACACGACGCTTACCTGTCATATCTTTTTGGGTTTTACCCACTATACTCCCAAAGATGAAAGTCGTGGCAATTGTATACTTGTTTGCCAAGCTTGCGTCCCTTTGTCTCCCCTCTGTCTCCCCTCTGTCTCCCTTACTCGCCCTTTGTCTCCTCTTCTCTCTCCTTGCTCTTGCCTGCAGCTGCTGCTTGGCTTGGTTTCCTCTTCTGCTCCACCGCTGGAAGCGCTTGAGTCTAACTGTTATGAAAAGAATGCGAAAGCGTGTGGCTACCAAAGAGTTTGTCAGGAGACTTAGGGGGTCAGTCTCCCAAAATCTGATTTCGGACCTCGTTTGGACCTCGTTTGCACCTCGTTCGGACCTCGTTAAAATTGCAGCCAGTCAAAACCCAGCCCGGAGAGGTTTTGGAAAGGCTTTGCAATGGTCTGCTGCTGCTGCTGCTGCTGTTGTTGTTGCTTGTGTTGCTGCTTCTGGGCAAGGCGCGGTTTTTGGGCAGAGAAGCAAGAGATTTTGTCTGGCGTAAGCGGTGTGCCAGGGCAGAGAACGTGGATGAGATTTCCAACTGTACATTCACTTAGCAACATTCGAATCCCGAAGTCTTCCATTTCTTATCAAATTCCTTTAGGAAAGCCACCAGAAACATTCCTTCAGATTATTATTCAGACATATTTGAGATTCATGTGTGGAGACGCGTCCTGATGGGGATTTGGAAAATTTGGTCTATATTTTTAAGATTATGGGACATAACTGTGCACACGCGTCCTGATGGGGATTTTGAAAATTTGGCAATAGAAAAGTGCACTGCCAGGGATCTAAAAGTAACACTTCTACATAGTGCGTCCCATGCAGTTTTAGACCTGGTTGCATTGACTTGTTTGACTTCCTGAATGCGCGGCGTCCCATGCAGTTTTTACCTTGGTTCCACATATGCACTGACTTTCACGTCCGGGTGTACCATAAGTGCCACGCCTGCCACGCAAAACGACGGTAGATGTGAGTTTGTGCCACGCCTGCCACGTGAAGCGAAGGTGGATGTCACCAAGTGCCACGCCTGCCACGCAAAGTGGCGCGGCGCCCCGGGCGTCACAGGCGCCAAATCCCGGCCCAAGGGCGCCACCCAGTACCATAAGTGCCACGCCTGCCACGCAAAACGACGGTAGATGTGAGTTTGTGCCACGCCTGCCACGTGAAGCGAAGGTGGATGTCACCACGCGCCACGCCTGCCACGCAAAGTGGCGCGGCGCCACAGGCGTCACGCCCGCCTAAACCGGGCCCAAGGGCGCCACCCAGTACCATAAGTGCCACGCCTGCCACGCAAAACGACGGTAGATGTGAGTTTGTGCCACGCCTGCCACGTAAAGCGAAGGTGAATGTCACCAAGTGCCACGCCTGCCACGCAAAGTGGCGCGGCGCCACAGGCGTCACGCCCGCCTAAACCGGGCCCAAGGGCGCCACCCAGTACCATAAGTGCCACGCCTGCCACGCAAAACGACGGTAGATGTGAGTTTGTGCCACGCCTGCCACGTGAAGCGAAGGTGAATGTCACCAAGTGCCACGCCTGCCACGCAAAGTGGCCCGGCGCCACAGGCGTCACGCCCGTCTAAACCGGGCCCAAGGGCGCCACCCAGTACCATAAGTGCCACGCCTGCCACGCAAAACGACGGTAGATGTGAGTATGTGCCACGCCTGCCACGTGAAGCGAAGTTGGATGTCACGATCTGAGGACAGTTGTTCTCTGTTTCAGCTTGGCCTTTTTTTTATGTTCAGCCTAGTTCTGTATCAACATGTATCAACAATTTCTCAGCATTTCGGAGGACATTTCTTGGCTTTGCTTAATTGAGCCCTGGCAGGTTTCTGATCGGTAATGCTGTGTCATAATCGGTATGATGGTGACAGCTAGTAATCATTATTGACCATTACAATACCAATTATTTGTTTTGACATAAATGGTGACATAGTAAGCCAATTAGCTAAAAAAAATGCATTGTATCTTACTCTTCTGCTATGCAAAAGATTGAACATTAGCTCCAAGATGGTACCAGAGATTCTGGCCAAGAAGCAGCGCATCTCATTTTGCTGTGGTCCATGTGCAAATACACAATCTTTGCTCCAAAATGGTGGTATTGCAATGCGAGAGATTTGGGTTCCCAGCTTGTTTTGTTTTGGCTTCTTGGTGGTTGCTTTGACAAGAGTCAACAACGCCAATCATCAAATCATTCTTGGGCCCAGTGTTACTCATCAGAAGTGTTACTACTCACCTCATGGCTGCTATTCCAAAAACTGTTCCGTCATATTCCATTCAAAGAATTCGCTTCCATACCGAAACATTCAAACGCATTCGTTTCTTTTCATTCTCTTCCATTGCAGTCTTACGATTGTCCATACCAGTGCCATCTCTTGGGGTATAGCTGTGGCACTTCCGATGCAAAAGATTCCGAAGCATTGTGGCAAAATTCACCCAATTCAAACCCATTCCGAAAAGAAGCAAGCACATTCAACACAATTCAAAAACCTTCAAACAAATCAAAAAACAACACCATTTGAAAAACACGGAAACATTCAAACGAAAAAATCAAGCGTCCTGTGACCTTCTTCAACCAAGAGCATTCAATGAACATCAGTAACATTCACAAACAAAATAAACATCCAACACAGCCAAAAAAGGCATTTGGGACAGCCAACACATGTCTAATGTCTGGTTCTCGAGCTTGAAACACCATTCCCAACCATTCTTTATGTTCTCTCAAAGCTGCCCTGGTTCAAAAATTGATGGATTTTGAATTTGGAATCTCTCTATCAAGGCTCATGAGTGCCCCTCGCAATGACCACTGCGCTCTTCTTGTCATGAAGATCAACTTAGGTATGACAGCCTTTGCACTGTGCCGCGCTCGGAGATTCCGGAACCACTTGCCCGGTCGCCGCTTTATAGAAGATGTTTGGTTCAAGGAACGAGGAATTGCGCTCTATCACTGACTCATGGCCTTGCGCTATGGCAGGGCCCGATTGCTAGGGCGGATGTGGTGCGAAGGTAGGTGGTCATGAGCGTATCTCACGCACGCAACTGTGAACACGCAAACGCGCTTTGAAAGGCGTTTCTTTTTGTTTGCGCGAGCATTGTCGTAGCTTTTGGGGGCCTTCTTGGTCTTCGCCCCGAAAGACTTTCAACCATTTTTTGGCGCGCATTTTGACAAAGAAATGATTCGCGAGAGGGACCAAGACAAAGTCAACAATTGATTTTTCAAATTGACTTGATGAAGCCCAGTCTGACTGCTAGGTTTGTTTCCTCTTCCGTCCATTGGTAGGGACACTTGCCAGGTATGGCGCTTAGTGGCCCGATTTACTTCAGCAGAGCGTCAGAAGCTCAAGGGGTTGCGCCTTGTGGGGAGGACATAGACATAGCCCATGCATGGTGTTTGGTGGTGTAGTGGTTGTAGTAGGATTCTGGAAATATGTTCTTTCAAATGGCAATGAAGGAACAATGATTTCCGGAGCCCAGCGCTCATCCAAGCTTCATGCAAACAGCAGAAGGGGGTGACAGAAAAACTGTTTTATTTAATTTGTTGGACAGGCGGTGTTGAAAATTGCCTATACCCACAATCTGAGAATGCTATTCAAACCTTTTCACGGTCACCATCTTTCTTTTGGAGTCATGTAGCGGATGGTTACCACATTGTTGAAGATTTGGCAATGCAACGCCTTTGCTGCAGGACGCCACCATCTTTTAACAACATCAGTTTTCCAGCAAACCTGTTGAACTTATTGGTTCGCACATACTTCTAGCATTCCCAGCTCCCAAAGCAGCCTGCTCATTTCTGAGACCCACGCTGATGTCCAAATTGGGAAACCGGAATTTCATAGCCAGCGCATACAGGGTTCTCGTAGATTGTCATTGCAACCATGCCCTGGGTGATCAGATTGGCCCTGGCCCCAAAATTGTAGATTGAGACAGTTGTCAGGTTGAATGTTTTAAACCTTCTGGTTTCCATGGATACTGGTGTACGCATTTCACTCCCGAAATCAAAGGTGATTCGTGGGAAGCCCGCTGATGGGATCATCCATTAGGTTTGTACACAAGTCACAGAAGCTTCGCTGCTTGCTGTTGTGCCCATGGGCGGTTTGAATCCATTTTTTAACAGATGAGGATCGCCACTGCTTAATTTCAGGCCCCCTGGCTGTGATGTTCATGCAATCGTAACATTCGGAACGAACCAGATTCACAAAAGTTTAGGCACGGTTTTTCCTGCTACAAGAATTTCGCTTGGTCCGTAAGCCACGTTGCGGGTTAAACCCTTCAGCTACACGTCTCGAAGCCTGGCAACGCAGTAAGTTGACTTTGAAGCCAGGAGGCATTTTGTCGATTCAGTTTGGTTTCCGGTAGATACATATATTACTATTGCCTATAGCTACAGGGGCGCTTTGGTTCAGGGCAGCGTTTCTTATTTTCAGTTTCTGTGCATCTCCCTCGCTATAAAGGATACTTGGGTGAATGTTGTTTAGGTCTCCCAAGCCAGTTTTATTGTTACAGATCCGTTGTGGTCGTTTGGTGGTAAATCATATCTATATCATATCTTTGACATGTCGCTTTCGATCTTTACACCCCTTGCTTCATGTAACTTGATCACTCCATATTTTGGGTTTCGCTCATGGCAGATGTTGGAATGGTGTTGGCGTTGCTCGTTTCATGCCATGGCAAGGTGATTGCGCTTGGTCTACTATTTGTTGCTCTGGAGCTCTGGCTCACATGATTGGCTGCTTTGTAGTCACAAATCTGTTATAAGCAAGTCACCAAACTTGATGACGCGAGAGCTCGACAACGATGGATCAACACCGCTGCATCTAGCGGCTGCGACAAAGCCATGCCTCCAACTGCCATGCGTTGCTGCAGTCTTGACGAAGCTGGAGGCGCCGAGGTGTACAGACCAATGCAAAACCAGGAAGGGGAAAAGACGGTCCTATAAGCATTTTGCGCAAAGCAACGCGGCTCCGGGCCATAGCTGCCAGCACCGGGGCGCTTTAACAACAGAGGCGCTAGCCGCTAGCCATCGCTTTAATTCTTCAAATGCGGTAAAGGTCAGATTCAAAGATCAATGTCGCTCTTCTCTTTTGGCAAAGCTTATCAGATGTAATTATGGCACGGTGTATCACTCTGCCCTTTTCAATGAATCTTGGCACCGCAAGTACGCACGCATACAATTTTGAGGAATGAAACTGCGCACAAATGCAGCCCGGCTGTTTGCAAATAATTTATTCGTCCAGCGGGAAACTAGGAAGTAGCACAGTTCCAAGGGTCTCCGGCCCGTGCTTTTTTTGCCATGGGCCAACCCAGCCATCCCCCTATATATATAATATTTTTTGTTTCGTTTTCCTGGCTGAAGCCTGGAAGTTCACGTTCATTGCTGAACCCAGCCGCTGTCCTTGGCACAGCCTTGCGACAGGTATGGCCCTATTAGTGGGCAGGATTTGTCCCAACAGCAGGCCGGCAACTCCATTGGTCACCTTCTGTTTTGTGTATGATTTTGCTTAATGCCCCCAGCAAATCCGGAGCTGGGTGCAGAGGCAGGGCTACATGGCAAAACCGATCCTTATTTGGGCAAAACATAGCGTCAAATAGTAGAAAAAAAGGCCTGTGACGGTCCAATGTAAGAATAGCGCACGAGGAATGTGGGCGGTTTGTTGTTGCGAACCGGCGTCCAAAAACATGCCTGGCATTGGTGATTGTGGATGCGGTTTGAGTTGAGCCCTTTTTCGTCAAAGTCTTCTGCCGAAGCCGCCCGTATTTGTCCGGCGTTTGGGCGAAACTTTTGTAGACCATCCATAGATAGAGACTTGGCTAATCACAACTGTATTGTAAACTTTGGGATGGCTTGGTCATTTGCGCCAAAGCTTCCCGATGTTTGTGGGGTTTGTGGTCTTCGGCGAATCCACGGTATCACGCCATGGTTTCGATCGATTTTGGGTTTGCATTTTGAGAAGGCGCCGGGGGGCACCAACCACACTCCACGAGAACACAGGACAGCAGGTCGAAGAATAGAATCAGTCAACACTTCACGTCATTGTACTGCATATAGGCACCAGTCAAAAAAGAAACTCAAGAGATTGCAGCGCTACATGTCAAAAAATTGCCAACATATCTGGCAGAACATACTTCAGGACACACGCTTGAAAGTATGCCAAGATATGGCAAACAATATGTCTGGCAACATGCTGGAGCACATGTAAGATATTGGTCAAAATCTATTTCAGAACAAATGTCGGGATATACATGTTTCATGTCAGGATTAAGTAGCGGCTATTTATTCTGTCAGTGGAGGCCAGGCGAAATAATTTTAGTAAGGACGGCGAGTGTTAACAGATGCGAAATGCAAATTCATTATCACGTGGTGGTCAGATTTCGTTCAAATTCCCAGTTCTTTTGGGACAGAGTTCCATGTTTCAAAGCTTGAGCGATGGCGGCCCCTTATACATCAGAATGCCCTTTGCGTTTCGCAGCCGCTCGGCAGCGAACATTGGTCCCTGCTTGCAAGGGTCCGCACTGAGTTGCTAGCATCTCCAGCTTATAGATGGGCTGGTCGCTTTCGTCAAAACTTTTGAAGTTGTGCGTTTTTGACATCGTTTGATCTTAGCTTTTGCGGTTGGGTAAACATCATTGCTTACTGTTTGCCATTGTTTCGGGGCCCAGGCAAAGGCATTCATCTTGAATTCAGCAAGAAGTTGAGGAAACGACGCTATATAGGAATAGCGAGCCAGTGAACATTAATTGATGCCCCACCACGAAACGAATAACCCGACTTGCTTCTTTTATCCGCCAAAAGATGTCATTCTGCATCCGCATTGTTTTCAACTTTAAAACCTTCCGCATCCAATCCAGCAGCGCAAATTGGCCAACCGGGGTGAGTTAATTTGCGGTGTGCAAGTGCTGTAGGTGCCACACTTGTTGCCAATTTCTGTCGAAACCATACGAAACCCAACGCAATGCGTTTGTCAAACAAGAACAAAAAAATGAGCTTTGGCAAACATAACCTGTGAGGCTAAAAAGGATTTGAAGGCACATATCAGCAAGTATCAAATTAATACGAATGGAAACCTACACGGCATGCATCTTCAACTTCCAACAGATGACCTGGAGCGCTGCAAGTTATGCAGAATGCCTTGCGGGATAGTTGGATGTTTATGTCATGTTAGCATGTTTCTCCAATGTGTTTACACTTGCGGTAGGAGTTAAGGCCTGACTTGGTAGAAAGTGGTCGCATATGTGTTCGTCTTTTTTGGTGGCACCTACAGCGCAAAAGTTCCTCGATCTTCTGTTTCCGAAGGAAGTCTTGCACGAAATGTAGCCCGGAGACCTCTTGCAGAAGTGATCTTCCACAACATGCATTGACATGCCCCCTAAACGCCATAAATTGTTCGAAAACCAAGCAAAACACTAGTAGCCTTTTAGTTGCACTGGGATTCCTGGTTGTAGCTAGGAGCCATTAGCAAGGTCATATGAAAGGGCATCCCCAAAACTTAGAATGCAGGGCACCAGGCACCCCAATTTTGGACCTGTACCAACGCTCGTCATTCAACATTGGAGTTGGTGATGCTCATTGAAATTCTTGTTTGATGGACATCAATGGTTTTGAGGTTTTAATCCGTATTTGTTTCATTTTAAGTAAGCACAATTGGCGTTGTGATAGATAGCTGCTTTGTTACCCACCTGCCAGGTGAGGGTCTCTGAATTTTAACAACACAAGCTTCTAAACAACAACGGGGCCCTCCAAACGAACACTATTTGGGTCTCGCCGGGCCAGAACCGGAATGCTATGCCAAATAAAATGTTAAAATGCAAATCAGATATATAGAGCGCAGATGAGATCTCGGAACATATAGCAGATAGAATGTCAAACAGAATGTTGGATGATATGCCAAGACATTTGTCAGCATATATGTGAGATAAAATGCCTGAATTTGTATGAGCTTACAACGGATCAGAAAATGATGCAAATAATCAGGCCAAACTATATTATGTTCATTTTTTGTCAGATAATATCAAAATGCATGCCAAATAGACTGTCAGTTGACGGCGGTCACATGTTTTTGCTTGGTTACAGCGATTGAAATCAAGTTTTGCATGGGTTAATCCCAAAGCCCTCGTGTTAGCAACAAAATACGTTGCTACAAAAATGGTACCGGTACCATTAAGCGGTGGGCTTCGTTGTTCGGGGTTAGCCTTCCCCAGACACCTACTATTTCTTAAGAATCCGATATTCTTGATTTCCGTTCCTATGATGTTTGGATTTGGCTAAATCAAAACCCCACCATTATCTGCTGGTTGAACCCCTTTGCTGGTCAAGGCCACCATGCATTGGTTGTTGGTTAAAATTGGTTTTCAGCTGGGCAATCCAAAGTTTTGGTCCGTTTGCTTGTCTTCTTGTCAATCAAATTCTGTAACATCAACCCGCACCTTGGCCGAAACCCACATCTCTCAGGTCGTTGGTGACTCGTGGGTCACCGAAGTGGATGTTCTTCCGGATGGCCGACGCCAACCGAAATCCCTGAGTGCGAATGCGCTCAAAGATGTCCTGCAGCAGCGCATGGGGCATGTGGCGTTTCGGTCACCAAGAACAAGGGGTGAAACATGGGAAACAGTCACCGCAGGTTTGGACAAAATGTCGAAATTATTTCGGCGCCTTTTGCTTGACTTCTTTTGTTTTTTTCGGTATAGAAACAACATGTGGAATATGAAACTGCAAGAAAACGGGTTTACATTGTGAAGCATTGGTCATATGATTTTAGCAAACATTGGTTTGATATGAAACGGGTTTTACTGTGCCAAATGTCGGAACTCGGAAATGTTTTTGTGGTCTTGAAATTGGATGAACCCGTCGGTGGGAGCCTTTCATCAACAGAAATGGGATTTGTGGAACAACCGCATCGGGGTTAGTTGGCAACTGCACACAACACGATCAAACCAGAAAAGTTGTTTGTTCAACCTTTCGTTTTTAGATCTGCACAACATTCAGATGTATTCGAAGATTTTCACGTCGTTTTATTTTTGCACGTTTGCCTCCTGGTGATCAACACGATTCAAGACATTCACCGTGTTTGAAAGGTAAGTCGAAGTAAAATGAACCATCTGAACCACAGCACAATAAAAATCATTTAGAAATCACTTCACGGAAACAATGTTTATGATTGTTGATGTATCTATCACTATGACGATAAATGAACCCATTTTTGCCATGAAAACCTTGAGGATTTCACCGTGGCGGGATTTCCGGGTCTCACGACCTGGGCCATGCATGACATCTGTGACCTGGAGATAAACGGTGCCGGAGCCGGGGTGGTTTCCTCAAATGGGGGATCCCCAAAACAGTTTCAATATGTTCCAATACTATAGTTGAATGATTTGGATTCGCCCCTATTTTAGGAAACCTCGAAAAATCCCCCGGAAACCCAAACCTTCATCAAATTATGTGCGTCAAATTAGCTATTTTCGGGGCTTCACCTTGTAGTGATAAGGCTTAAGGCTGATAGATGATGATCGTGTGAAATTTTCCTCAAGGTTTGAACCACGCTTTTTGTAAGGTACGGTTTTGCAATCCTGGGTGGTTTTTGATGGGACCACCGTGGTTTTCTGACACGTTTCATTGGGAACCCTGATGCGTCGTGGAATCCACAGTGCTGTAGTAGTCACCATCCCAAAATGGAACCATAGGAGCGGGCCGTCATCAATAATAGAAGGATGATGACTTTGGTCGTGGATCCCTTGTTTGGGATGGTTGGGACCCCAGTTGGCTACTTGAAGGTCAGGGGTTTGTCACCACCCAAGCACGGTGAAAATCCCGATTTTCGATGCTAGTTCCACAAAGTGACCCGATTTCTTTTCAATTGGTAGGTTGTAATATTTTTTTCAAGGTTTCGACCCTGGATATGTCAAGGAAGACTTCTTAATCAAGGAAACAAAATCCCACACCGCATAGGGGCAGGTTATATGCTTCTGCTAATGCAAGGATATCAAACACCATTCATGCGAGGTGTTGATGAAATCTGCATGTGTGCGAAAAATTGAATGATTTGTTCATGATCCATCCTAAAGTTTTTCTAACTATCCAAAAGGCCTTCAGCTACAGCGCCGTTTCTTGCGATTGCATTGCTTTTGGACGAGGGGACAAACCCAAAAAAGGGCCTCGTAACGTCAGACATGACATACCATTCATAACGGAGCGCAAAATGAATAGGTCCAATTATTGCTAAACCAGGGTTTCCACGAGATTTAGTAGGGGATATTTAGTAGGGGAGGGAAGGGATTACATATACCAATTCCTGGCGCTGAAATGCAATTCCTGTTGTTTGTGCTTTAGCTACCGTATATACATTGCTCCCACCAAGCTGTTCCAACATGTCGAACCTGCATATCAATAATTTGAATTTAAGCTCTATTTATTCTTTATCCACAAAAAAGGCACGTTGACCTATTTCAAAAAGATAGCAAGATTATTACAGGCCCCAGCTTGGGATTGTGATCCTGTGACCACGAGGCACATCTTGCACCCTGAGACATGCTGCGACCTTGTCTGCCGGCTGCTATTCCGTCGGCAGATATCCCGCCGCCTCCCAATGCGAACTGGAAGGCTTGCCGGTGATTCAAGATGCTGGCCGAAAAATGTCAGAGTTTAAAAAACGTGGGCAAGTTTGATCAATTTTCAAGTCAAAACTCATTTTTCTGCCTTGAATTTGGTAGTCTCAAGTTCCTGTTTTGATTAGGGCATTTTTTGGCGGCCAAGTGCAAGCCAAAAATGCTAGTTTGACCCATACCTTTGTCCAACATGTCCAACATGTTCAATCATGTTGGATTTACTAAATCATACATCCATCTCCACAGGGATTCGTAAAAACAACCCCCAGTTTATGGCAGTTTTCGACAAATTGCCTAAAATGAAGGTGTTTTGCATTGTCTTGCCATATTCAGTGCTCGGCCATATTTTGGTGGATATCCATCCCCGAAATCTAGACGCTATGCGACTGAGCTGAGAGTTAATATAGGGTTCCTCGCTGTTGATCGTTGGGACTCATTTCGCATCATTTTGCCCCATTACCCTCAGGTAATTTATGAATGGAGCATCACCATGAAAGTTGATGATTTCTCCATTATTTCCATGGCCATTGTCCGTTTCAAAATGGTAGATCAAACCAGAGAGTAGAAAGCTCTATCTTTACCCCATTGCATCCCATCACATCACCATTAAACCCCTTTCAAATCCGCCACAAAAAATTCGGGGCCCAGCCAATGAGCTGCTTACATCACCAAGGATCCATGTAGTGTCATCGAGGACATCGATGTGGCGGTGATTTTGGTTGGCAGCAACGATTTGCTGAATGCCGGGCCCTACATTGACCAATGGTCCCAGGAGAGTTTCGGGTGAGATTTGTGATGACCTGTGGATATTTCAAGAGATATGACACCAACATCGAAATTGTTGTTCATCATAAAATCATTGGTTAGCGACCAGTGAAGGGTGTTTTAGCAGTTTGTGACAACTTTGTTGCCGTTAAAACTTGTATTTGTTGCTGGGTAGTCAAGATCCCCACCGACAGCAAGCTGAGAGTCCACAACTAGCTATGGGTCAAAACACCAAAATAGCTGCCAAATGGATGAACGTACCAACACAGATATGGTATTGTAGGTTTTGGCCCATCCCTAATTTTGTCTTTCAAAGCTTTTTAGCCCGTGGCAGGAGATCTTGTGGAATCTGAAGACTGTGCGGGCGACGCTGAGAGAAAGGGGGATTGAGGTGCTGATTTGCTCCCTTTATTTGAGCGAGGAACAGAAACATGACGATCCTTGGGGATGTCAAACATCATGGGTCCATGGTTTTGTAGGGATACAATGTTGGGATTCTTAGTTTTTAGATGCTGTCGGTATTATTTGGCTTTACATAACAACGGGACGAAGCATAGTAATAATACGTAGTGAAATATTGGTAATATTTTGCCATTATGCATGCATACGTGTGCACTAATGAACGGCGCACGAAGTGAGCCAAAGATGGGTCGCAAATCTGCCAAGGATCCTTACAGAGAAGTGGTTCGGAAAAAAATGAACCGCAAACTCAAGCGGCATGGCGAAGTCATCGATTTGGATTCTCTATTTGGCAAGTATGACCCTGCCCTTTGGCGTGATGGTGCCTGGTCGCAGTTCATCTACGTTTAATATGTTTAATGTATTGTCAATCTGTCACAGATTTCAGTGATAAGGGAAAAGCACCATTAAAATATTGTACTGTAATTGCGTAATTACTTGTAACTATATACCTATTTAAAAATGAGCCAATTCTCGTTGATTCGCTTGGGAGAGTTTTTTTTTCGCGATTTAGCGGACCATATTTTTGAGGGAACGGCAAGGTCGATTTGTCAGGGGAAAATATAGACCTAAGGCCATTTGACGCTGTGTTTTTTTGAACTTCCACAGGCGCAAGAGTTACATGCCACATGCTCATACATGCTCGACAAATGTCCTACGTATGCCCTGCCAAGGAATTAGTACTAATTCAAGCATGTCCCAATAGTGATGGCTGAACATGTTTTGGCCACAGAAACATCAAACTCTAAAGATGTAAACCAACGAAGTCAAACACTCCCCTGAGCAGCACAAGGGAATCTTCGAAAATGGGTTGGCAATATTATTTTCTCTGTTCCGCTTGTTTTTGGTGTAAAGTAAGGTTTCGAGCCATGATATGATATTGTTTCTTTTGTGCTGTTTCGTTGCTACGAGGCATTTCTGTACAACATTCCTCAAACCAAGAACCCATCCTAATTTTTGGATGCGAAACCACGTGTTCGCCCCAGGTTACCACCTGAATGACATGGGTTGTGATCACTTTGGCAAATTGCTGGGGCACTATTTGGTGCGTCGCTTTGGGCAGTTTCCAACAGCCCACGTCAATGGCAAGGCACCGTTGGAACATCACGGAAATGATGGTAGGGGCGACTATCCCACAATAGCTCACAGGATGCCTTAGCTCAGGGGAGCGAATTGTGATAATTCATGCGGAAGATGATGAAGTTCTGGAATATTTCCATTGGGGAATCCACCATGTTCATCCTGGGAAACTAGCATTTTCTTGGGTGACCTGAGATTCGCCCGATCCTCCTGTCATTAAATGAGTCCCAATATGATAAGTATCGATAAATATCCCACTAAACCATGGTTTCTGGAATGTATTTAGGATTTTGGACCTTTAATTAGCCATGGCCATATTGCAATTTGGAGTTTTCACGGATTGTTCGGCCATTTCAAGTTATTGATTAGGGAAGTGTTCAAAACATTAATCATATTGAATTTTGAGCCTAAGCTTGATGTTTGGATTATTTAAGTATTCCACCATTAGAAGTCATTGTTTTCTTGGGGTGCCACCGAGTACCCTCCACAATTTGACATCGCAATAAAGGCTGGTTCATGATTTGGGTGAAACCTTCCATGCATCGCTGATATATCCAGATGGTTGAAAGATGAAAAAAAAACACCATATAAACATCCAGTTTGGCATCAAAATCCTAATTCTTTTGGTGAGATCCCAAGGTCGTGGCTGCTTAAGGCATCAATTGTTAATCTCTGTCCAAAAACAAGGCTGATTACTGGTGTATATGAGTCCCCCAGTTTTGTAATATAAAGCGCCCTCTCTCTTCCAGAGAAACCCATTTTCCCATGAAAAAAACAATTTCGTTTTGTTAGTCACCCAAACTTCTAGGACATGTTGCAAGTCCATTGCGATGGTGCCCATTTCATGCCGCGACTGCTAGCTGGATCGTACGAGCCAATTGGAAAAATGCTCCGCGGGAAGAAAGTCTACAAGAAAGCTGGATTTATTCAGAAAGTTTGTCTATATTTTTTCGTTGGTTTCTCCCATCTGTTTTGGGATGGTGTTTGTGCAATTAATGCTGTTTATATGATATGTTTTATGTTTTGATTTTTCAAAAGGTACCGGCCATGATCCATTTTCTCATAGTTTCCCATAGGTTGGATAACCAGGGTGATTGGCAAAAATGGTTCGCAGGAGAACCCGCATTTCTTTGGCAAATTATCAAAGATAAATGAGAAGGTCCCATTGCCAGGAAAAATTGCGGACATCTTTTCTTCTGTTGCTGGTGTCCCAGCAGATAAACTTGATGAGCAAGGGTTGATTGAGACTGACTTTTTCACGATTTGTTCATGTTGGGTGTCCGAAAACGGGGTGTACCTCCCACAACTGGCATTTTTTCATGGGAAAAGGATGACAACTCATCGAAATTGGGGAGTGACTGATTTTCAGACAAACTGATGTTTCCGTTCACCTCTTCCAACCGCTAAATCCAGCGAAAATTGTTCTGCGGTTGCGGGTCTAAACAGAACCTTTCAAGACACAACTGGCTAACCCAAGCAACAACCATGCGGTGACCATGCCCCATTTACAATACCCAAAACGTATTAGATATAAGATTTGGTTGGAAAAAAACATATTAAACCCAATTCTGTGTTTTTTTTACATGTGACTTGTTTTGGAGAGTTTTGGAGAGCATCAAGAGCAGCCCAAAAGGGCATTACTTCCAGGAAATTTGGGGGGCCTGGATCCCAAGATGTCTTCATCTTCTACTGCGACAGCAGATGGGGAAGAAAATGGAGAGGAGGGCCTGAAACTGTTTCCACATGCATTTTACATTTCTTTTTTATGTAAATATATTTCTGGTTGGTGGTTTGGAACATGTTTTTCCATTCAGTTGGGAACAATAATCCCATTTGACTAATATTTTTCAGAGGGGTTGAAACCACCAACCAGATTGCTGCTTGTAAAGAAATAGAAACATACTGTCGATAACTGTATATTTGCTCATTTTTCCAGCGGTATTCTTCACATGCAGAACGACGCAGGGATGTTGTAGATAATTTTTCTCAGCACTTCCAAGCTTGCAAGCGTTTAGCATCTATTTTGGGTTGTATTATGAGTCCACTTGTGTTGCTTAGAAACATGCTTTCCATCCATTTCTCTTCGTTGAGACCATGATTTTCCCTCGGATTTTGTTGCGTCTTGGAAATCATCTTTTTGTGAGGGCGTTGTTGGTGGACCCCTCAAAAAAGCCTGCACATTTTTTATTTTGTTACTCCTTAGATGCCATGTGTCCATGTTTTTAAAGCAGATACGCATCTCAGAATTGGATGAGGGGAACGGTTGCAGGCATATCACACGGTTTCCTGCGAATATTCCCAACAAATCAATTTTTAAACAGTTCTTATCGGATTGGACCAAATGAAATGTTAATAGGAAACTATTGTTTTGCCTAAATAAACGTTGTTCCTTCTGCAGGTTTGCCTGATACTGAGACTGAAGGAATCACATCAATAAACATTGATTTCCCAGTTGAACCAGCTTCATTTTCCCATCGGTGTTTGACATTGTTGAAGCATCATTTCTCATGTTCGCAGGTTGGTACATTGGCCCAGATGTGCATCTGCGTCGCAGCAGTTGGGCATTTCACCCTGGACCTTCGCTGGGCATCGATGGATGGTGGACCCATGGCCGGGGACTTCCACGTTGGGCCAGCACCAGAGTGCGGGTGACGCGCAAGAGACGGCAAGTGACTTGGAGAATGGGCTGGAGCTCGGAGATATTCGGAAATAATGTTTTGGAGTTTTCGAATTGTTTTGATTTTTTGTGGGAAATATGTTTGATTTGAAAAAATTATGGGGATGTCATAGGGAAAAAATGGTGGTTCAACTGGACGTCAACTTTTTTAAAGACATGTATTTTACTATCCAGTGGTGATTGGGGGGAACGGTAAGCTGAGCTAAGCTGAGCTAAGCTGAGCTAAGCTGAGCTAAGCTGAGCTAAGCTGAGCTATGGGTATCCAGTCTTAGCCATGGAGGGTTTCCCAACCACCTGGGCTTGTCCAAATATGATCATTTCATGGCGGTTTCAGCAACCACAAAGCATGGACTTAATGGCATTCAATGGTAATATGGCAAGCAAAAGTATGATTTCGGCGTTTGTCCAGAAAATGGTCCAAGTTTGTTGGACAAAAATGTGTCAATCCATTGGAATTGAAGCTATCTCATGTTCAGATAAAACCCATATTTCCCTTTGGGAATTGTTGGTTGTTTTCTTCATATTGGATTAATCCAGCCGGAATGGGGGAATCGGTTGAGAATGACGAAAGCTTGCAGGTTTCCTAAAGTGGTTTGTGGGGTGCCTTCACTTATGGAAACCCACAATTGGATACTGTTGATTTTGCATGTCTCCTGGGTTGCATATCCAAGGTGAAATGCAAAAGGATCGTGACTTGCCAGTTTTGTTTAACAGATTTTGATGATGGTGTTCCAGTTGTGCACTTTTCCTGGCCCCCCGCAAAGGTGGGTATACCGTATACCGTATACCCTGTTTTCCCTTTATTTGTTGGATATTCTTGGTGTTTGTATTAATGGTGTGTTCTTGTGGTGAATTTGAAATTGAGATGGCAAGTGGGAATTCTTTATTTGTGAGGACACTGTTTGTTTGTGGTCGTTTTTTTGCCATGCCGTACTGTTTTACCAGAGTTTCAATTGCCTTCCTGTGGGACTCCAGGAATTCTGCGCCAAACATACCACTCCAGCTAGATGGGTTAAAAATGTGGTTTTTGCAACAGCCAGCAGTTTCCATGTATCCATTTAGTTTGATGATTTTTTTGACCCATTAAGTCCTAGTGTGTTCCGCCATGGACTGGACAGTGGATCTTTTTCAGAAAATGGACAAGTTGGAAGCACATAAACACATACATGATTTTTAGTAAATGTCACTTGAGCAAAATTCTGGACAGAATTCATCTACTCGGGGACCGGAACTTGGAATGACTTGGATGTGCATCTGAGTTGGTATGTGGATCACTTGGTTGCGAACTAACCATGGCTATCACAGGGTTAATTTACCACCATAAGGATATGTTTCCCAATCGTTTCACCACTTGCCATGGCAACAGGGGGAAAAGAAAACAAACCCAGAACCATTGTGTTTCTTTTAGCTTCAACCGTGGGATATCTGCAGATCCTGCAGATTTTCGCACACTTTGGGCAGGTACTTTCCAAGAGCTACTGGGAGCAGAAAGCTCTTCGCCGAGTTAACGCTGGCTGAGATCAGCTAATTAAGATTAGCTGACTTGCGGAGCATTTTTTTTGGTGGTTTTGCAGGACAAATTATGGGGAACAAACAGGGAAAGCTGAGGTGAAATCTTGGTCACAGCTACCTCTATAGTGCCAAACCGTTGACCTCAAAACGAATGGTTAGCTCTTAAGTCGCTGTTTAACTTGGGGTTAATCCAGCAAACCAGTGATAAGCAACGGGTGAAGGAGTGGTAGTTTTGGGGATTAATACGGTATAAATGATTTAAATACTACACAGTTTTTGTGGGGTATCCGAGATTTGCTACTTCAGTACTCGCACTGGCCTCATCATAGATGATGGCTAGTACTTACGGGAGATCATACCAACAAATGACGTGCGATGTTTTTTCGTTCACATTTTGTTTGCCACCCGGTCAAGATTAGATGCAAATTCGCTTTTGAATTTGCAGTATCCCCCTAGGGTGCCTGGCTTTTGAAGCATTGAGAATTCTATGCCTTTTTTGGGTAGGACCAACCGGCATGAAGATTTGTGACATATCCACATCTTATTGAAGTTGGTGGATAGATCATGCGCTGCTTGCTGGACATGTTTGAAAACATCCTTGGTCAGATCCAGAAAGCCATAGAAAATCCCAAATTATCAACATTTACCCACCATAAAAAGATGCCAGGGTCTCAATCATCCCACAACTATCCATATTTTTTAACTGCAAATTTCAAGAACCAAATTTCAAGATCCTTAAAAGGTGTTTGGGGAGCGATGGGCTGTGGCATGGTCACCTTCTTTTTAGTATTTTTTCAGTACGCCCGTCCTGCAGCCGTAGATGTCGTGTCACCAAAGCCTGTGACCATCGCTGTGATTCGAGCCAGTGTTCGAAAATGCTGGAGGTGTAGGTATCTCCATGTAACCTCCAACTGATTGGCCTCCAACAAGAAATGGATGGTTTAGAAGAATTTTGATGCCCGTTTCTCAGCACCAAAATTCAACAAGTTGATGAATGCTGTCCATTTTTGGCCCATAACCCTTGCTTGGCCACACGCAACCGCTGGTCATCCGGCAGCAGTTTCACTCCCGCAGTCGGGCTCGTTGGGCTCAAAAATTTCGGGCCAAAGGGATTTAAGGGATGCAGTCGCTGTTCGGTTGGAGTATCATCTAATACCCTCTGGTAAACATACAAGAAACTATGGATAATCACCATTTTTCATGGGAAAATCCACTATTTCTATGGCCATTTTCAATAGCAACTTGTTAAATTACCAGAGGGTATATCATGGGGATATATGGAACCATTTTTTATATAGTGTATATAGGCTTTAACCATCAAGAATATGTGAAATTAGTTAATACATGTTCAAGATCCTTGCTGGTTGGTCATACGATGGTCTTTAATGGGCATTGAACCACCTTTTTCCATATAGGGATTTTAACCTTCAATGGATGGGGATATGATTGATAAACGATGGTTGGTTGATGATTCGTTCCATTGCTTTTCTCCTCTTGCCCCATAGGAACCTCATGGTTTCCAATTGGTTTCCTCATTTTCCCGTGCCATGAGGTGGGGAATCCAATTGACCAACCATCACGAACGGACGAGAGTGGGCATTGAAATGTTTGAACACTGCTCAGTTGTCTTCGATGTTCTGGTACGGTTTTGGAATGGATTCTTTCAACACATTTCAAGATCAAGAAATCATGTAATCCCTTTCCCCTAGTATCGAATATTCCCTAGAGCACCTGGGATAGTATTTGGATCTATCATTTGGGCACCCCAAATTGATTATCAATCGTCAATGTTGGGGGGATGGAATTGGAATAAGTAGTTTCCTCATATGCGGCCATTCACCCCTAAGTGTTTCCACCTCTAACCTGGTCTATGATACTTGTTCACTCTTGCAGCTTCAAACACGGAAATTTTCATAGGAAACCTGTGGTGGAGAATTCAATTTGATTTAGTAAGCCACATGAAATCCTGTATTAGATCGGGATAGTTGCGAGCCAGCTAAGAATTGAACTTTTTACAGAGTATCTAAGATTGACCATTTTGTAGCCCAAGACCAGGGGTAAGAGGAAGAATTTCAATCTTGCAGTTGATGGATTGCTTATGAGCTTTGAAAGAATAGTGCGGCCACTTACCTCCATGACATTTGACACAAAACCAGCATGATTTGGAAGGTTTGCAGGGGTAGATTTGCATGTGGAATTTTTGTCATGTCTATCGAAGTGTGGACAAGAGTTTCCAATTTCCAACAAGCTTGCCGGAGAATCACCATGGTCAACCACTACTGTTGGATGAAGAAAACATGTCATGTTCGAACAATATTTGTTGATCTGTTTTTGGTAAACTAGTTAGCCATCACTTCTGTTTGACTTGTAGGGGTTCTTTCTCCTTCACGGGGCCCTTCAGTATGCTCCTCGGCCCCAGGTGCTGGGGTGAACTGCGGGAGGTAGATCTCAATTTCATCGCAGAATCGTTGTGGCCAGATGTTGAGGGTCCAGGCACCCCATGGTTATAGTTCAACATGATTAAACAGCTGAAAGTGGTATGTTTTTTTAGTATAGAAAGGTTATAAACACAGTTGGTTCATGTTTGTTTCATTCCACTTAGAGTTGCTGATGAGTTGGTGACTCATTAGGTTCCACCATTATCCTCAAGCCACGGTGCCAATCACCAGGGTCACAAAACTGGCAGCCCAGTAGCCTTTGCACAGCGTCAACATTCAGTTTTGCACTTTCCCATTTGTACCGTACAGACATGCACCCCATGCCGTGTCTGAAGAGAAGGCCGATTTTTTTTACAAACAAGAAGTCTTGTTTTCCAGCTATGGACGGCCCCTGCTGTGCCGTCACGCGTGGGGTTGCGCCTCTTGTTTTCGGGGGGTGTTTTTCGAAAGCGCCTTGGGCTGGACTCTGTTCGCAGTGCTGCGCCAGGTTGGCCGCTGGACAACCAGTGGTTTACAGCGGACAGGAGCGACACCCCAATGTTTTCCCCATCAAGACACGCAATGACAGCAGTTGCTGCGTGGGATGGGCCCCGAGAATTTTCCCCTAACATTTTGGGGGTAAGGTTGAGCCATTGGCCCGCGTGAGGACCACGCACAGCGGCGTGAGATTGTGAGCGTATGATTTTCTTTGGCTGTCCGACGGAGGCGTTGAGCATCAAGATTTGAAACGTCAATTTAATAGTAACTTCTTTTTGTTTTTAAGTATACAATTGAATTTTCTAATTTCTTCATGACACACGAAACTAGGTTTTGGTGATATTTTTGCCTGATCATATTTTTGCTGGACTTGCATTTACGTGAAAAATTTGGCACGCATCCGCTTCAAGTCTTTTGGAATGCATGTCGTGTATCTTTTGCGGACGGCCAGGCGGTGTAACTTTGTACATCAACGTACAGTGTACAGTTGTCTGCATGGGTGGGCTTAAGACAGGCCAAACCCAGCTATGTTGATGGTTAGTCCATCCCAACTACCATGGGAGAACGGTGGTTTCACTAGTCCAATATTATTGTCGGTCCATCTCAATCATGCACGTTCTCCTGGTGCAAGATGGCAAAAGATGCGCCCAAGAAATTCGGGGAAAGTTGGTGTGGCAAGTTTCTCTTTGGGCGCGTCCAGTTTCACAGAGCGATGTGCAGGAGAGACTTCGGCTAACACAATCGCAGGGGTAAGAGTTGGCATGCCAGCACCAACATGGAGGACCATGATGACATAAAGGCGGGCACAACATTTTGATAATTTGTTTTGTTTCGTTTGTTCAATCCAGTGCATTGCATGAGGATTCCACTTAACTGCCATTTTGGCAGTGGGTTGAAATAATTTCTCACTGGGAATTGCACAGGCGAATGAATGTCCCCCCACGACAAATGAACCTGTGGGTGTCAATTTCAATGGCAGGGTTTTCGTTAGCCACTAGTCATTATTCTTGCAGATTCCCTAATTGAACCCTCCCCCAAACTTGATAAACTCAGGGTATCTTCCTCCGGAGCCATCAAGATGTCACTGTGACGCCTGGTCATCCCATTGTGGGCGGTTTTTGTTTTGAACATGTTCAACAGAACCCTAAACCGAAGCAAAACGGTGGTATATGTGGTTCAGAAATTCGATCATGGACGGCAGCTAATTTCTCATGAAAATCAAAAAGGACCAAAAACGGGTATAGGATCCAAACCCCCAGGTCTAAAGAGCATCTCCGGGTTGGGGATCACATGAATTGTGTTTGATGCTCCAACTTTTCCAGGTGGATTCGTCATGGATTCGTTTAAAAGCCAGGGCAAGGCAGTAATCTGGTGGCAAGCGGTCGCATGGTGATGATGGTCATGTTGATGATGGCGATGACGATTAGTGATCAGTGTCTGTGTGTTTGTTAAGTATCCTTATTTGTGCAGGTATTATTTTGTTACTATTGGGATTATTGTAACGAACTCGACCTGGACACTTGGTCTTTGAAGGCATTAAGAAGTGGGTCCCTAAATGACTTTCAGTCATTAGTTTACACATGAACATCTGAAAATTTCCATTACACATTTCCATTGGGAACCCCCAGCATGAGAATCAACAACACCCCATAAAGGTTGCGCTGAAGTCGGTTCGCTCGTCCATTGACGCGTGTTGTCGCTTGAGGCTGGTTTCCCACAAGCATTAGGAGAGTGAGCATAGACTGAAATGCAGCGGTTCTCCCTTTAGTTTTCACCTGATTTCCGGGAGTTCTAGCAACAAACATCCTCAGCAGATGCAGTGTTCCGCCAACTGGACGGGAATTGGGCATTTGAGATCCAACGTTTTCCATCAACCTGTGCTTGGCCGGGCATGTCCCTGAGCGCACCGCTTCCTGTCCATTCGAGCTTTCCGGTGGCCGGGGTCCAAGGCAAAGAATTCCGGGAAGCACGGAAAGCCCGCTATGGATTCTTAACAATAATAATAATAATATTATAATAATAATATAATGATAATATTTTAATGATATAAACCAGCAATATTAGTAAATTTGAGTAATGACAATATTTTGAAGCCATTGATATCGATTACAAACGGTGTAAAATGAAGGGAGTATATCCCCTCGTTTATTGGGAAAACAATCTGGATGGATATTTCAATCCTTTAATTTTTTGACTGTGGTTTTTTTTGGTTGCATGCTGGCAAGAAAAAAATAAAAAAAAGTGCCTAAGATTTTCTGGAAAAAACCATGTAAATGGGTAAATGGGTTCTAATTTGTTGAAGGTCCTTTGGCTTGTTGGTTTCCCGTATGATTGGCGCCGAAATCTGAGATTTTGATTGTGGAGCCAAGGAGCCGAGGGATGCATGTGCTTGCGCTACTAGCCCTGATATCACTAAATGTGGAGCCAAGAAAACTACTCGCACTCCGCACTATCTCAAGATCAATGGTTGTTTGAACAACATGAGTTTCTCATGTTCTTATATATATACACACACATATATATATATGTTTAATATATGTATATGTATGTATGCAAGTTGTCTACAGTTTTTTTCAAAACCCAAGAGGATTATCACACAAACCCATCCTCAACATGCCGTCCAACGCGCCACTCCTGAACTCGAATATACATTTTTCTTCATTGAATCATGAGATAGTTATGTGATAAAAACAACTTACATTTCTACTACGCAGCACGTCAAACTGAACTTTCATCCACCGATCCAACATCAGAACAGTACAGAAGCAAAGGTGGAAAAAGCAAACAAATGACATAAGCATTGGCACGACCGCAAACCATACGTGCAAAAACGAACACAACAATGACGCGGTAAAAAAATGGCACAGAAATGGCCAGCAAACGAATACACATTCAAGTTGTACTTTTTTCGTCGCACCCCGTCGCACTACTTCAGCTTTCTTTTTTGCACTCCAATTATGACACTAACCATGACATTTCTCAAGACACATCCCCAACCATCACGAACTAGTTCAGACACAAGGCGCTGAGGATCCCACAGCAGTATCAAGTCCACGTTAGCAGTGAACCGTGACAACAAGGGGACAACAACGGGAGCATTGAGGAGAATGCGAGCAAGAACCCGAAGGCCGGGGTCCGACATGGAGGATGGGGGGTGATTCACTTGGATGATTGGATGGTTAGATTTAAGATGATTTAAGGAGTCCACCAAGCCCGCGGTAGCGTTTTGGAGCTCAAGCTACTCAAGCTGAAGTGTTTCTTTTCTGATTCGGCTTCGGTCATGTTGCAGCTTGCCTTCGCCATTTTCTTGGGTTTCAATGAAGCTGCTACTGCTCTCATGATAGGTGCAGAAGCAAGGAATGGGCACCTGGCCATGGACGTCTTCAGTTCTGTTCTGGCCACGAACTTCCTGAGCCGATCCCCAGTTGATGCTGCCTTGGCTGCAGAGGCTCTGCAGTACAAGCAGCAGTTCGACTTGTTCGACATCGATGGCAATGGAGAGATCACAGCTAGGGAGCTGTCCTCCAGCATGAAGAAGATCAATGGGAAAAGCCTCCCAGAGGAAGTGAAAAGCACTATCAATGAGGTGGATGGAGACCGAAGTGGCACCATCAACTTTTCGGAGTTTATGACTTTGTTGAGTCGAAAAATGCACGAGACAGACACTGGCGAGGAAATCAGGGAAAGCTTCAGAGTCTATGATGCAGATGGCAATGGCTATATCACTGGACAGGAGTTTTATGATTTCAACAACAAGCTGGGTCTCCTGGACTGGTGTTTCTTTTGTTTTTTTGTCGTTAAAACCCCGGGTTTTCTATGATCGCTGCGCACGTGAATGTGCCAAAACACAGCATTTTTTTGTCTCGTAGAACAGTTACACACCTGTTTGGTTCAATGTTCAACTGAGGAGGGAAGTTTCATGCGCTTGAAAACGTCGATGAGGTCATCCGTGAGGCCGACATTGATGGTGATGGCAGGGTCAGCTACGAAGAGTTTGTCCAAAAAATGAACTTCCCCAATCGCAAGGGAAAAGGTGGTGCTTCCTCTGGAAAGTGAGACCGGCGGCAATGAGCCCAGAAGCAAAAAGTTTGCTGAGCGCCAAAAAAACTGGTCACCAGGTCCCAAAAAGAGGAAGGCCTGATGTTCAGTGTTCAAGAGAATCTAGTTTGCAACTTGGTGCATTCGCGGACTCGAACTAGACCTTGCCAGATCACCTCCAAATATATCCAAGTTCATCCAACTGCAATTGTTCACCATCCGCCCCGCGTGCAGGTTGTCAACATCAAGTTCTTTTGGTTCTGGGCTCTCTGCAAGGAGAGAAATGGTCAGGATGAGGGTGATGATGGTATTCTTGCTCGTAGGTACTGTACTATACTGTACTGAACTGTAGGTGTTATTTTTTTTGCTAGAACGCAGAGGTTTGATCGCAGCATTGTCCTGTGCTCGGCAAACAAAAATAACATCAGCAGGAGAGTTTCAAGAGCTTGGATACATGGCCTTCCCCAGCCTTCAAAACTTGGCATGGCTAATCAAAACACAGGAGGGGACATGTCACTACAAAGCAGTTGCAAAGCAATGCGTCGCATTCACACTGTCCAAGCGCAACTTTAGGATTGGGATGTACTTCAAAGATCATCCCATAATTGCCCCATAATTATCCCACATTTATCTCAATCGATCTCAGAACTATCAAATTAATTTCAGAACTATACCACATATTTATCCCATAACCTCCCTGAATCTCATCTGATTTCCGAACCATCCTTTTCCAAGGTGAGCCCTGCGAGAACTTCGAAGGTTCTCAGGCCAAGGAAACTTCGCAGTTTTGTCGAAAACCAACGTGGAGTGGTCCATGACAACATGAAAACAATGGGGCAGCCGGCAAAACGATGGCATTACAGGATGATTATGATGTTTACATATTGTTTCTTCCATCTCAATTTGCGGTTCATTATTTGGACGCCTTTACTTGGGGTAATTTGTAGCACCCAAGTGGACTAAGTGGTCGGGAATTGGGTTGTTTTTTTTGTGGATCCCACATCTGTCGGGACTGCTGGTAATCTTATGTTTATTGATCTTTGTGAGGGCCATATATCATCCTATATATATATATATATAATGTAGATTTGAATTTGCTGAGTCATCGTTTTTGTTTCCTTTCTAGTCAATGTCAGTCAACTTCCAAAGAAAAGGACAGTTACCAGGAGCTTTGTTTGTTGGCTTTTCTGTATTGGCCAGAAGCAACTCCAACATGGTCGGGCGCGGCGATTGTGAACAAACTGTGACTTACAGGAAACATGGTGAAAGAACTTGGATTGGATGTTTTCCCGCGTGGAACCTATATGCCAGCTATATGCCATGACAATTTTCTGCATTTGTTGGGTCGCATTCCCCCTTCAGGCTACTTGTATTTTCACCAGCAATACCAAGTCACGCCCGTCAGGGCAAGTGAGCGTGCACCTGATGGTGCGACTGGACCTGCTGTGCCGGCACCCAGTGGGTAGAAAGTTGGTTGCAAGGCCATGGATTTCCGATATCTGCGGGAAATTGGTTAATTTGGAGAGGGCGATTCCTTGACAATGTCATTAGGCGGTTTTGCAACCAACTTCCATGCACGGTGCCAATTTGGCAGCCCAAGTTTTCATGATGTTTATAGATTTGTTTGGGCTCCAGATTGGGATCCAACCGGATACTTTTAATGGGCATCACATCTTCAAATACCCACATAAGACATGCAACCTTTGCCGGCCGAGGCATCTCTACCATGCGCAATCGCATTGAAATTCACCAGCACCATCCACAATCTCAGTCTTTGTTTGTATTGTCCAGGCTGCCCTAATTTCGTTTTGGTGGCCGCCATCAATTCTATCCTTTGTCCAAGGGGGGGTGCTAGAGGCTAAGGGTTTGAGACACTGGCGCGTGCAGTTAGATGGGGGTGCAACCGAAGGCCTAAATCAAAACCTAATATTTGTCCAACAATTTTCCCGTGCCCTTTCTACACCACAGAGAATTCTTTGACAGCGGGATCAGAAGCTTATGGAAGTGGAGGTCCCATGGCTCAGGGTTATAGTTGGAGATTCCACACGGTTGGTTCCATGAAGCAAGTGCTCTCCAAACAAATTTGGTAGACTCACCCCTTTATCGTTCAAGAAAAACCGGAGAATTTCAGCGTCAACAGCCGCCCGCCCACTCACAAGTTTTAGGTTCAAATAGTAGCACGAATGAAGATGATGATAAGGGCCAGCTGCAGCCGACTGTTGCGGGTTGTTACAACATGCCACAACCGGTTGCCATCGGTATTTAGCTATGAAAGTCCGACAGGCGTGACAAGTGAACAACTTGAGGCCCTGGTTCTTGAGGAGAAACCCTTGGCGCTTTGAAATGAAGTCATCACCCTCCAAGTCCCACCCGCACATTCTCTTTGTTTATTTTGAGACCGGCTACAAGATGCCTGGTGGAAATTTGCGCAGTTCTGAATGTGCAAGACCAATTATTCAAAATCTACCAGCTCAAAAAACATTTGGTGGTTCCAAATGCGCCTCATTTTGTGACCATGTTTGGCATGATTTCCACGGAGTGACGTATTTTTTCAGCAGGACCAAGCAGCCAATCAGAAAACACATTGCAAACCTTGCCATGGCGAGTTTTGCTTGTAGGCACAGCCTCAATGGGTTTGGTGGCTTTGATGCTGATGGATTGGCCCAAACAAAAAGAGTTCAAACTGATTTGAGATTGAAATCATATTTACACCCAGCACTTCGTTGAGGGGTGGTTTGGAAAAAATGCCATGGATGATGTCACCAGAATGGTGACACGAGTCTATACCCAACGTGCCCAAGCTGCTGTAGATTGTTGGTTTGCTATCCTACGGTACCCCAATGAATTTCCACCCGTATCTTGCCATTGATATATGGCTACAAGTTTATGTTTTGTCATCATTTTCAGTATTCAAACATACCTAGACAAATATGATAAACAAAGTGAACAACAGCCTTTAATTGTGGTTTAAACCAGCCATTTGTGGTGATATTACAGATTGTTTGTTATTGGCCGCCTTCTTATGCCTACGTGGGGTATCCCTACGACTCAAGACCTCTTCAGGTTGGTGTTGATCCTGGGTACCGCACTGGCGGATCTTGCCAAAGAGGCTGGTTGGGGGCAACGAACGTTCCAAGCACCAACAAGTGTACATTCATTACATGTTATCATATTGGTGTCCGGTTTTTGCCGTTGCTGGCACACATTTCCCATAGCAAATTGGCCCCTTCGTGTTCAATCTCACACAATGTGTGGACGACCCACGTCATCTATATGAGATCATATGACATATGGCATTTGTGGTCCATGTGTCCATATACATGTTTGATGGTTTTCCATGTGTAAGCGCGCCGCAAACGACCTGCAAGGAGTAACTTAATGTTAAAAACATTTGTATAGTCAAAGATGCCAACTTACCATGGTTTAGGAAAGGTGGAAGGCCTACTTTGCCAGGAATCTCCGTGTCTGTTTGCGTCAAATCCACGCTTACAGCCCAAAAAAATAGATCTGCATTTTTGAGTTCATTGGTGGTGGGGTGTTTTGCATTGGAGATCACTTGCACTTGCACACGCTCTTGACGCTACGTCATAGAGGGCGTGAAGTGTGGAGCAGCAACATTCACTTGCATTTGCACACGCACTGTAGGTGATGCCACGTGTGGGGGCAGCAACGTCGCTCGCACTTGCACATGCACACGGAGTTGATGCTGCGCTAATATCTCGCGGTTTGCACTTGAAGCACGTGTACTTGATGCTACGGCGTTTTTTTCTTCACTTGCACTGTCATGTGCTTCATAAATACCTGGTGAATAAATCATTGCAAGGCCACCGGCAAAGCATTGCGCTACCTGCGGAAAGAAAATAAACCCGAGTCCTCGGGAATAAAGATTGTTATCAGGACTTTGTCACCGAGTAGGCCGGGTGGATGACTTCCGTCCAGCACCATAGCTCTACTTTAACCTGTTTGTTCTTTCCACCTTTTTTACATTGCTGGGCTGTCATTTTTCCACCTTATTGTAGCAAAAGAATGCATTTTTGGATGCCCCTGGTTATTGATGGCAAAGAGGAAGACTTGACCTAAGCGTCACCCTCAAGACGCCCTCGTGGAACACCTCGCTAGAAGTCATCTTCAACGTTTGCAATATCCTCATGTGGCATTACGATGTCGTGGGAAAGCCATCCAAAAAGCGAGCCTAAAAAGGCAAGACCAAAAGTCTGCAGGCTATGACTGGCCGTCGCCCTGGCCGTGGGCAATTTAAGCACACGTACGTGGTCGATGAGCGTGAAACTGAGGGCCCGTGCCAGGACTACTTCATGGCGAAGGGCAGCCCTCGCAAGAGGGTCTGTGGTCCCGCAACAGCCAAGATGCACTGGCATGCGCGGTGCCAGCACATAGGATAGATAAGGTCACTGGGCAGGTGGAGAAGATGCGAAAGAGTATTTTGGCATACTGTGTCAGGATGCGTGGGGTGGAACTGCAGAGATCCAAGCTTTGCGCGGTGCTTGTCATCGCGGGGTCGGTCCTCAACTACCACGGCGGCTCCAGGATGTTTTCGTGGAGCTGTAAGGGCACCGCCTTTCAAACCGCGGTTGCCGCGAGGTTTCTCATGAAAGAGGCCCTAACGCGTTGAAGGAGCAAGGCTTGTGCAAGGAACTTGTCAACTCTGACACGTGGACGTGGAAGCACGTGCAAAGGATGCAGGGCTCCGCCATCCGCGAATCGCAGGAGATGACAGTTGCTAAGCTGAAAGCAATTTTTACACTTCTGTTTTTCAACAGTTTTGACGCACTTCCAACAAGTTGATTCCATAATTTTGTCACCAGCGCATCTGCATCCTTTATGCACGAGTGAAAGGCCAGAGCTTGTACTTGGCGGTTGCTTTTTACCTATGGTTCTTGCAAGTAACATATGGAATTTGCTGGAAACGTAGAACTTGCAAGTTGGACTTTGCACACTTCAAAAGAAGTTTTCTCAAGTGTCCACACTTGGGTGGTTTTTACGGTAGGACTTTGATCGAGGTGCTCACTCTGGCTGACCGCCCTTTTTCCCGTAAATTCTCGTGAACAATGGTTCGAAAATTGATGTCCATGTGCATGTCGATTGCACAGGCTCGCACAAAGTCTGCAGCGCGACCTTGGGGTGCAACATTTTTCCTGTGAATTTCTGCATAAAATGGCTCTTGTGACATGTCCATCCTCCTCCACCTCATCATCCGAAACATCATCCTCCTCCACCTCATCTTCCGCAACATTATCATCCTTTTCATCATCCTCCTCATCATCATCATCCTCCACCTCATCATCCGAAACATCATCCTCCTCCACCTCATCTTCCGCAACATTATCATCTTTTTCATCATCCTCATCATCATCATCCTCCACCTCATCATCCGCAACATCATCCTCCTCCACCTCATCTTCCGCAACATTATCATCCTTTTCATCATCCTCCTCCTCATCATCAACATCATCCACCTCATCATCCGCAACATCATCCTCCTCCACCTCATCTTCCGCAACATTATCATCCTTTTCATCATCCTCCTCATCATCATCATCTTCCACCTCATCTTCCGCAACATCATCCTCCTCCACCTCATGATCATCTTCTGCAACAGTATCATCTGTTTCATGATCATCTTCAACAGCATCATCCTAACATCATGATCTTCCTCCTTCTCAACATCATCATCCTGCACCTTGTCCTCCTTCACTTCATCTTCCGCATTTTCATCCTCATCCTCATCCTCATCCTCCTCAACATCATCATCCTCATCCCCACCCTCCTCAACGTCACCATCCTCAACCTCATCCTCCACCTCATCACCCGTAACATCATTATCCTGCACCTCATCATCCTCAACATCCTCATCCTCTACAACTCTACATCATCGTCCACAACATTATCTTTCTCCCCTTCCTCATCACCATCATCAACTTCCACATTATCAAGCAGTATCCACACACACACACTGTTTGGGGTCTCTTGCCGGTGTAATCTTTTTGGGTAAGACAAAAAACAATGACAAATCTATGTTTTTTGATGTTAAGGAAGCTCGGTTGTTTTTGGGATGGTGACAAGAATATCTGGAAGCAAGTGGAGTTTTTGCCTAGATGATCACACATTTACAGGAAAATTGGAAGGCCGTGAGGATCTGGAGCCACTGCGGCCAAACATGCCGACTATCACATGTGACCCATGATTATTCTTGCTATTACTCTTGGACGATTTTTGATTATCGAGCCTGTGACATTTTCTTGCTGCCCACTGGGCCGCACGACAAATTGCAAAGACAAATCATATAACTATAATCACATCAGAAACTTGGTCGAAAACAAAAAAAATGGAGAAGAACCAATTTGAAATCTGTGTTGAATGCTTTATTGGAAAAGCGTATCGGTATGAGGTGTCGAACATTGATCCCCCCTTCCTCCCTGAGACTGGAAAATCACGTGTCATGCAACTGGTGATCTCAGAAGAAGTAGGGGCGTGTAGCCATGCGTAACCATGTGTAAACAGAAAGACTGGCTTGACACATGTGAAGCAGGAAGAAAAGTAAAATACGCGAGTAAAAAACAACTGGATTTACACAGTGTAGCCTTGTGTAGCCATGTGTAGCCATGTGTAGACGTATTTTCTAAAAACATATGAGAAAATCATGTTGTGTGTGCTGTAAAAACCATACCTCCGAGAAAAAGCAACATGTGGGATGCTGCTGTGACCGCTCAAGGAAGGCGAGACTCACTGTTTGACAGCAGCTGAAGAAGTAGGTGCAATTCTTCCGCATAGAGTAGCGTGAGCCTTGAGCACGCCATGAATATTGTCTGCCAACAGAGGTGCAAAGGCATGAAATTTGGAATCAGCTCACACCAGCTCACGAAACTGCGGGTAAATTTGCGGCTCAAGGAGCCGCGCCTGGAACAATCTTGAGTAGCAAAAGCGTTTGTACAGCCCAAAAGCTCCATGTCAGGCTGCACTTTCCAATCATTTTTCTTTAGAATCAAAAAAGGCAAGGAAAATTGACAAAAAACTTGCTCCAACAAAAACCAGTTACAAAAACCTAAAAAGTTAAGTTGGCAAAGTATTTTTAAAGTACTTTATGTAGATTTTTGTCGCTTTTCGAAAAGCAACTTCAAACATTTGTAAAAACATGTTTGGTTTTTGATTTGTAAGTGCTGTAACTTCACTTACAAGTTACAGCCTACTTACCGCACTTGCAAAATGCTGCACCCAGTTGCAAGTGGGATTGCATCTATACATGTAAGTACACGCAAGTGGTCTAAACAAAAAAGCAACCATCAAGTATGAGTTTGTCATGCTTGTGTTTCACAACTTAGGTCAGGTTCAAACTTCACCCTTGTCTCTTGTCAGGTTCAAACTTCACAGCCTTGTCTCTTGTGGCATACGTGGGCCGAAATCACTATGATTACCTGGCGCCTGAGCCTGCCCCTTCCGCAGTTGGAGTCCCAGATGACGCACAGGCACCAAAGTGCTTATGTGACATTGGAGTCTGGAAACACATTGACCCACCAAAGAATCCCCAATGCTTGGGGGATCCCCGGCAATCCCCACAAGCAGGAGCTGAAAGACGCCCTGGGCCCAAAGAAACAGGGCACTCCTTGTGCAAGCGCAGCGGAGTACTACGACTATATAGTCAATGTACCGACACCGCAGCTCAAGGAAGACACGTGCATTCGACAGGCTCGGAAGCACAAAATGGAGTGGAGCGGAGTGGAATGGAATGGGAGGAGTTCGAAAGAATTATCAATTGTCTAAAGTTGAGAAGAGGCGATGCTAGTTCTACCGGCGGTCCGTCACTGAGTCTCAAGCATCTGGAGGCCTCCACAACCATGCGCAGGGAGATGAAACTTTTGTGCTCCATTGGCGCACCTACAGAGACTACATCGGCTTTTTGCTGGGCAAAGACTTGGTGACCTCACCGGTCACGGCACGCGACGCCTTGACACGCGAGAACAAATGGGGATACTTTCAAGAGTTGCGGGTACAGCACAGCCACAGTCAATTTCCAGGCTCGTAAATTATCCGTCGCCACCCATATTTTGTTGAGCCACTACCCGGCGGCAGCCAGCGACCAGGACTGCGACATATCATATGTTATCAATTATGAGTGAACCTGACTTTAGAACATGTGTTCGAACCTGACTTGTCATGAGTTGTCCAACCATGTCCTGCACAGGAGCGCAAGAGCTTCCAAGATGCAGCCGCTGGCCTGGTGGAGTTCATCAAGGACTGCTCAACGTCAGTCCCCGATGCAGTGGCGATGGCAGGCAACTACCTGGCCTGGCGTTTTATGTTCTAAATTCAAACCACGGAGCATGTGGGGACGTGCCGCAAGCTGGCGGCATCACATTCCATTTTTGTTTTATTTGGCATTCCACCAAAATCTGACAATCAAACTTTGGCGTTCTATCTGGCATTCTATTTGGCATAGTGTTCGGGCCCGGCGAAGCCCAGACCTCACGATAGAGCGGCTGTTTAGAACAGGCTGCTGAGGAAGCTGCTTGCCTTTTGGTGGCGATATTTACCCGTTTTACATTGTTCGTACTGACAAATCTTTCCAACACCTTTCCAATACCGCTGAAAGTGGAGCATGCTTATCTTATTTTCAGAGAAAAATGGTTCCACTTTGCGCATTGGGGTGGAGGCATCATCGCACTCATCATCATCAACATCATCATCATCATCATCGTAATCACCATCCTAACCATCATCCTAGCCATCATCACTTCTCAAACCGTCCAAGTTCTCGTCTACCTGGCAACCTTGTAAGGTGTCCCTTTCCCACGGCCTTTCCAAAAAATGAACCCAACATTGTTGGTTATTCCTCCATTCCTTGTGCCTTATTAAATGGCTTGGTTGGGAAAGGGCCAAGATGCTCACAATAGATGAATTGAAAACAGATGAGTAATAAACAAACCCACTCGTGCACCGATGACACATTATGTAGTAAGCATCATCAGCCTTTGTTTCCGCACTTCAAGTCGATAAAATGGTGTCAACAAAACAAACCTGAAAGTGACCGAAACCGTAATGAGAAACTGAAAACTCCAAGTTTACGGTCACTTGAAATGCATGAAAGCAACAAGATTCCCCCACGCAACTCGCAGTGCAGCAGTTCGTAGCTGTAATGGAAAGTGCAGTAGCAGAGTCCTTGCGTCGAGCGCCCTGCTGAAGCGGAAGTGGATAGTAATGGTTCTGGCTTGATGAGTCTGTGACGGAGTGTGAGTATTTAGGATAGAAACCAGCACTTTGTGTGACAATGCTCGCTTCCCAGGCGCTCTAGAAGTTGAGTGTTATTTGAAGAATATATTCACCATCACTTTGATAAACCATTTGAAAACTATTGTTTTTGTCGTCTATATGTCTATATATATATATATTTTTTTCTACGTTGTTTTTCGTATCAACATTTACGGCATCCAATGAATACCACTGAAGCGAAGCAAATTCTATCATCACAGCATGTCAACACATGTATAACACATCGGTTTTTCCCAGTCTGTCCTCTACCATGTTATCGCCCAGCTATTTTTTCCCTCTCCCGTGGCCCTGAATTCGTTTGCTCAGGCGCCGCTGAGTACTTCAGGTGTCTCGGGCCGTCGCTTCAGCGGTGAGGTGTTGAGAGATACACCGGAACTGCGTTGCCCGGTGATTTGATGGTTGGGGATGGGGTTGGGGATGATGGTGCTCCATAACTAGTTTAATTTGCTCTTAATGTTCTTGAAAATATCGTGGTAGATACATCTATATTATAGTTGGTGTTTAAAATCAAAATTTGCAATTTGAGCCACCAAAATGAGGTGTTGGAGGTTTCGGCTGAAATATGCGATCAGTTTTGTTGATGTGTCGAAACCCACATGTATTGACGGAATGGATGAAGTCTGACTGCTAAAATCCTGCGCCGGCGGTTATGTCGATTGCAAATCCACTTGGGTGACTGGTTGAATCCTCATTTGGAGTTCAGGTTCATACGCATTTTGAAGCTACATTTTTGGTCTTTACTTTGTTGCGGTTTTCGATGGAAGGACGGCGCCTCCATTCAAAATCCGACGTTTGTCTAGTGGACGCCTCTGTTCTGGGATTGTGAGTGAAGTGCATGAAGAAAAGCATGTTTGATTTCTGACAGGAAATGAAATTGTGAAATTCGGTTGTTACCGCCATGCACTTAACATGTTGCCTACGTTTTAACCACGGATGCAAAGAAACCAATGTTACCATTTGGTTTGCTGGAAAAAATCATTTTGCAGATGGTTTTGAAATTCAACCCTGTTTGTGGGTCATTTTTTCATGTAAAATTTATTCCCAGCCATGTTAGCATTTTGAGGCTTTGAAGGTCGCCAGAGCGACCTCAAGGTGAGATTTGCTGTTGGGGAAACGAGGGGAGCCCAATAAATAATTGGATATTGCAGGTTATCACCCGGAAAATATAGCTTTATATTGGAAGAATAGCGGGACAATAATGGACAATTATGGGATAACTATGGTAAACTATCCTTTTGGGTGTGCCCCTATTTGGGATGTGTTAAAAAGCCCGCAGTCATTGTTAGTTTATGGGATGCCTGTTATTGGGTTTACCGCCATACAACCAACAACTTGCTGGAAACAAACAGGGATATAACTTGTTTTAACCATGATGCCATGAACATGGGGATATAACTAGTGAAAATAGTTGCTTTTGGCTGGCGCAATAATGTATTTTCATTGTATGTAGATATGTTTTTTTCCGGGCATTTGGCAATTTTTGTGCGAAGGCAATTGACGGTAGCCATGATTGTGGTCCGTTTTTCAAGATGGGTTGTTGTTTCGATTTGTTTTTGTTTTTAAGATGTTTGCCCGACAAATGGTGCAATCCGTGATTTGCATGGCTGGACATTGAGAAAGTGTGCGTACGGATCTTTAATTTCAAGGACGTCTCAAGTCCTATTTTTTGACGGGGGGTTACTGGTGAAAACTATGGAAAATCGATGCAAACTTTGGGTAAATCGATGAACACCATGGAAAAACCGATGAACAGTGCAAATGGCAAATTTTAGCTGCAAAATTCAGAAAAGTACATGTTTTTTTGCTCCAAAATGTAGCAAATAGCGAGGAAAAGTGCCTCAGACTGAAACCAAAAAAAATGCACCCATTTTGATATCTTGCTTGCCTCCAATTTAAGAGCTTGAAATTTCTTCACATTTGGGGTTCGTTACTTTGTCCTTTTTTGGAAAATCACCTATTGTCCGGATGGTTTCGCAAAGCCTCGCTTGTTTTTTTGAGGATGAGATTGGCAAACACCATGAGTTATAAACGAAAAATCATCACCCACTTTAAGCATGGGGCCTAATAAATTTTACAATTCACTTAATATCACGACCTTGTTGTTGGAAGAACCATGTTTTGACCTTACCATGTTCCCACTGTTTAAGGAAAACAACTGCAAAAATACATCTTATCTCACTGCCTACCTATATATCTATCTGTGGTTATGTTGTCCCATCGATTTTCCCTGGAAAAAAACAGGTCCTGGTGAACAGCAGCTGCGAGCGATGGATTGTGGTGACCTCCATCTTTCAACCATCAGCTGCTACCAGGACACCATTCATAGAACCATCCGTTGGGCTAAAGATGGGACCTATACCCACTATATTATCCAAAGATGATGGGTAGGATTGGGGAAACCATGGTAAACATATGAAATTCAACATATGTCAGGTGGTTTTTTGTTGCGTAATCTGTCGAACCTTTAAACTGGCCATGGGTTTCATGGATCTATATGGGGAAACTCTTCGGTGTCGGAGATGGATCGATTGAGAGCCCAAAAAACTCGAGAACCAACGGATATTTTGTGAACTGTGAAGTCAAAAACTGCGCTCAACGTGAAACAACCAATTCTTTAAAACAGTTCGGGGCACAAACTGCAGATAGACGAATTGGAAGGATTGTTTTCTTGACAGGTTTGTTTAAGGCAGTGTCATATGTTCATCTACCTTGCTGTCAGCTGTGAAATTTTCACATGAGTATAAATTGAAACTAAAGGCTCATGACTTGTCCACATTCAAATATATTCAAATGAAGATCAGATAGGGTATACCCAAGTCTTGGAAAACCCCAATTTATCAATTTTTTTGATGCAGAAATGGCTGCTTGAGCATTCCAGCTTAAAGGGTCAGCCACATCGGCCTGAAAACTGAGAAGGCCTCAAAAGAAACTGAGAAGGTGGTGTGAAGAGTTGGGTTGACGTGATGTTTTTTGTGGTGGTAATTTGCGCGCATGCCAATTTTCTGGGTGTCCTATCATCATGTCCTATCATTTTTGGTCCAAGCTATTCAATTATTCCTTTCCTGATGTTTCCTGTGCTTTTGGGGATTTTTACGGCACCAATCCAGATCCATATCTCTAAGAGGTCCATCCACCCGCACATCCGTCAGGAAACTCGGAGAATTGACCCGACAGGGCTGGTGTTACGTGGTGGTGGCGGACAAGAATGGGCCTGAGGAATGGCATGGTGTCGAAGGCCAGAGATTTCTTGGATTTCGTAAGGGGGGAGTTGCTGAGTTGCTGAGTTGGCTTTTAAGTTGGATTTGGTTAGCCCGTCCAAGAACCATATATTGAAGAAATTGGAACAATTTATGATATGTTATGTTTATTTTTTGGTTCAGTGATTGAGGAAATTTCCGTTTTGGTTACCCTGTGGTAATCTATACATATATATATATAATTATGTGCTTTGGAAGCTGGCCTATTTAAATATTGTTGATTGAGCTCTTATGAATGGCGATTCTCCATAGCTATGTTAGTTTACCAGAGGGTAACCCACGTTAATCCACCAGATACTGAAAAGCAACATTGTAATTCGTTTGTGTTACTTTTTTTTTGTGGGTGGCCAAATCACAAGCTGCGGAAATCAAGTAATTATGGTGAATCCAACCTTCTTATCATGTGATAAGCCAACACAATGCTGGCAGGTTTGGAGGGTTCATGTCACCCATGTCAGATGAAATTGGGGATGCTTTGTTATTGCGTTTGCCACATTAGTCAGATGTCTATAAACTGGATATATGTTCAGGTATTTTCTCTTGCCGCGCTTGATCTCCATGGGGCAAAGTCCTTTTTATGGTGATTTGTTGGGCTTTGGATTGTTGGGCGAAGGATGAGGGTTCAAGATTCAAAGACACTTCCCAATCTTAATTCCCAGCAATAGTTTAAGGCAGTTACATGACATCATGAATCATGACATTAAGATACATTAGCATAAAATGTATAATATACATTAATATACATTAATATACATTAATTAATTAATATACTGTTTGCCACCTTTTTTATCCCATTGATTACCGCAATGATCGGGTAGCATCGCCATCATCCCATCCTTGGAAAAGGAGTGATCTACCTCACTGTGGAACGTCCGGGGGGCCATGTGCGTTTGTCGGTTGGGAAGAAATTTCTCTCTGGATTTTTTACCGTTTGCTACTGAAAATTGCTGATATCTAGTTGGTTTATGTTGGTTTAGCTTCTTCAAATTGTGTTATTGTTTATGTCAAAATACCTGAGCGTTTCAAGTTCTTTTGCCAGTCAGGACTTGGGAACATTCACTCTTACCCCAGCTATATTGATATTCACCGGTTATTTATTTGTTTTATAGTTGTTTATATATTCAATGATGATGACTTTACTTAGGGAGCCCCGACCTCCAACAGCGTTTTTGGCTTCAAAAAATCCCACCAATTGAGCCATCCCCTTCATCATTGTTTGTTGGTTTCCAAGACTTTAAATCCAACTTGTCCTTTTTAAAATCGTTTTCATCACCACTATATGACTAAAAAGCCTTGAGGCTTCCCGTGGGAAGCCTTGCGTGGGAAGCCTTGCTGGGAAATTGAGGCCAACGGGAATTGCATTTCCACATCATGGATCATCTTCCATGGCGACATTTCGGTCGCAAGAACGCCTGGGCTCCGAAGGATGCGAGAGATGTCTCAGGGGTTGAAGGGTTTTTTAAATACAGACACCGAAATCGAAGCCCTTCAGTTAGGGATAGTTTCATTGAACTTGTTTCTGTAAAAATTGAGGGGTCTGATTGGGTTTGCCACATTGTATACTGGCTATACTGGTGCCGTGGTAGCTTGAGTCGGGTTTAACCAGGCTATGGGGATTTAATCGAGAAACATTGGGGTTCACATCCTGCCCACATGGGCGTGCGAATGGGTTGTGAATCTGTGGGCATCTTTGGGCAGCTGGCAGATAGTTGAACTGCATTTTTTGCAGGGTGCCTCCGATTCGCGGGGAGTTTCGATGGTGAATGTCACCTGAACCAATGGCATCGTTGAAAAATGAGCAAGGTTCCCAAATACCATCCGTTTTTTATGGAAAAAGGACGATTCGGAACCATGATATTTCGGATATTTTTGGGAAGGCTTTTTGCGCTCCAGTTGGTTCTGCAACCATCTTACTCCCACAAAATAAAGTTTGTGGGGGGGTCAAAAATATCAAAAAAGCACGCCAATTCTAAGTACCAATCATTTTCCTGACAGTTTCGGGACTACAAAGAACGGTTTCTTTGATTTCTCGGGCCGATTCGGCCCATTGGCCAGTTATGGAAGCCATCGGAAGAACCTCAGAGCCTGGAGTTGGGATGGTAGCCATTCCTGTCAAAACTTGGAGGTGCAACAAGATCTGAGTGATTTTGAGCGGTTTTTACCGCATAAGTAGGATTAACAACTATTAGCAACTGTTTTTTTGAGAAATGGGGAAGGGACGTCCGTCTCACCGAGATGTTTGGTCGTTTCCCGCCATGATCCCTTGCAAAGATGGTTGGCCATGGTTTCCAAAGACTTATTCCTAGACTTGGTGGGGAAGTGGAGTTTGGTCCATGGACATTCCATGACATTCCATGGTTTCCCTGAGTTGTTCTTTCCCAATTTATTGGTTGTTATCTTATCTGTTTCCACTACTGGTTGGTGGGCGAAACAAAACTTCAGCCAAAATCGATGGATGCAACTGATGCAACCAAACTTGGGCGCAGTTCCACCTGATTTGTGTGGTAATATGGCCATAACTATCGGGAATTCCAACTCATTGGGGGATCATAAGGGCTTAGACCTTAGAACATCTTAGAACCATGGATTATAAATCTGGAAATTTCGCCATCTCAGTGGATGATCCAGCATTTAACCACTTCTTCCATCTTCCAACATCTTCATCTTTTAAAATATCACCATGTGCACTTCTGAATCCATGAAAATTTTTGTGTTTTTCAAGAGCTCCATAGGTGGGTTTCCTCTTCGCCATTGCGCGGGGGGACCCGGTTTGGAAAGTGATGGATGGTTCAGTTTTGAATGCCGAGAACATGGGATAACTTACCTTTGATTAGCCACCAAAGTTGTGGTTATTTTAGTTGTGGTTATTGGGTTAGGTGAGAACATTTCAAAACAAAACATATTCGTTGTGAGATTTAATCGTCAAGAGGACAGTCAGTTGGGAGTTCCAACTGATTGGGACAATGGGGATTGAATTAGCTATCAACAGTGAGAATTTCAACAAAATGGTGAACAATTAAATGAGTTAACCCCAAAATCATCAAAAAATGGTTTAACATGCAAAAAAAGGATGTGTGACTTAACATGGTGTAACCAACAAGACTGGTGGTAAACAACGATTGAGAGAATGGTTGTGATTCTGGTTATCATTCTCTACATGCATAAAACAACGTTGCTGACACTAGACATGCCCAAATATCCATGCCAATTGGTACTCCACCAAAACATGCCAGCAATTACCGAGATGCTAAGATGAATATGTGCGGGGCCGGATTGATTCGATCACAGCATCATGTCCGGTTTTGTTGGCTATTCTCATGGGTTTTCGTACTAGCGCACACGCGGACACCACAAAAAAAAACTTGTCCATTGTAGAGCTGGAATTTGCCATCGCAGATGTATACTATCCGGTTATTTAACATAGCTATGGAAAATCCTTTTAGTAATGGAGGTTTTTAATGGGAAAATCATCTGTAAATGGGTCATTTTCCATGGCTATGTTAAATGACCAGATGGTATTTACCTTACTCTCTTGTTAGTTCACGTATGGAAAATCACCATTTTTTAATTATAGGTAAATCATCACAAATCATCGAACCAAATGTGCCATGGCATAGCCAACTATTAAATAACCAGTGGATGATTCACCCATGGCCAGGTGGCCAGTGCTGGAATGAGGGTAGCAGGGGGTCATCGTGCCTGGCACCATAGAGATATCCACAATTATCGAAGAAATGGCTTGCAAACTATCAACCAAAAATTGATCTGGGTAGTGGGATGGAACTTGCTGCTCAATGGGATTCTTACGGTTTTGATTTAGATCATCTGAATCAGAACTTGAATCATCTTGGATCTAGAGGTTGTTCCAACGCTTTCTATCCACTTTCGAAGGGAGCAGTTCGGAACCATGGTTTTCCATATTTCGCCACATTCCATTTCACATGCGGAGTTCTGCGGAGCTACGAATTGACTTTTCCAGCCACACGATAAGTGATAAAACTTGTTTAATCACTGGAAATTTACACAGATATCGACGGATTTGGATCAACAATCGGCATTTGACCATCTGAATCCATCTGATTTTTTTTATCTGAATCCATCTGGCATGTTTTCTAATCTCGAAATCTGTTCACCTAAAAAAGAACTGCTGAAGCTGAGCTGAAGCTCAGGAACGGCGCGAAGGTCATCTACGACACCGACGATGACAATCGCCTGAAGGACAGATCCATTTTTGGCAAATAATGGGAGAAAATGGATGGGAAAGGGATGAGAAAAATGTTGAAAAAATGTGTTTGTCAATGGGGAAAATCATGGCGAATTTGTTTCTAGAACATTTTGTTACTTGGGATGTTCTTTTTTATTTGCAAATATTTATTATGTCAGTTGGAAGAGCACGGACATTCCTTTGTTTTTTTTGAGCGGGTGAGAGAGTGTATCTACAGTCTACAATTGTTCTACTGGCAAACCCTTAAAAAACGGGTTTTTGCTAGGCAAAAAGTGTGGATTGCCAGTAAAACATGGCAACGTCTTGGTTATGTTTATGGTTGATTTTTTTGTGCAGCTATAAGCTGAAGTTACTCAGGACCTTCGTCTCCTAATTAGTTAAAATCTACAGTACCATTTAGGGAATCTATTGAACATATTTCTTATTTTTTAAGGACGTGTCGTTCCACTTAGTGCAGTGGAAGTACTGCCATAAATTCAGCGGGTGTATCTCAACTTAAGGGGTGAATAAGCATGGTTATGCACATTTGCAACGCGAATTCCTGAGTTGGCACAGGATTTCAACCAGAAAGATGGAAAAGGGCATGTAGCCTAGAAAATTTGGTGATTCTTGGGCACACGCATCGTCATTGAGTTTCGGACAGGCTGACATGCTGTTTATGGCTCACATTTGCTCACATGTACTCGACACAAACATGTTCTACGCATTGTTTCTATATATATATATAGTATGTATATTCTACAGATTATATATATATACCGTACGTATAGATGCATGTGTTTTGTACATAGCACCCTGTGGGGGAAAGCAACATTTGGAAGGTTTGGGGCCATGACCTGCTTGTTTGTAACACCGCCGTTCTTTTGGTGACCAATGGGTGAAACCGGTCGGTTTACGATTCAAGGCTTCATAATTTGGAGTACCACCCACGGTCATGTGTATTTTTCATGGTTTATCATGCACTTGGTTTCCATCTTGTGTGCAAAATGATTTTATGGGAAATCTTGGGAAAACTGGCTCCATCCGTTGGAATTGAAGGAAGCGAGGATTCCAATTCTCGGCGAGGATCAAGTGCCTGGATAAGCAGCTGCTGGTTGTGGCTTTGTCCATCTTTGTAGCAGAGAAACCGTCCAAATCGCCCTCCAATTTTATTGAATTTAATATGGACCCCGAACACATTGGAGAAGCAACTTCCGAACCCAATTCCTGGAGTTTCATATTAATATTAGCTTGAAGATGTGTATACAGTGTAGAGTAGATTTGGCATTCCAGTTTTGTTGTCCAAATGTCCAAATGTGTCGGAATGCTGATGTTGCAATCTGACTAGCCGGTCAAGTTTTAACCCTGGTGTTTGAAACTGCTGACCCATGCGCGATTTTGTTTCGTTCTTGAGAACATGTTTGTGGTTCTGAAGATGATTTCTCACCTGAAGATGGGCATCTAAATTGTGGAATCGGTAGCACAATAAAAAAAATAATATGATGTTTCAAACATGTGAATATGAAATTCCTTTCTTGAGCGAATTAGGCAATTGATACCAGGTTCTCCAATCCAATGTTCAGTTCCGGTTTTCCATGTTTGTCATGTTGTCCTAGATCTTAAATGTGGATTTGTTCATTTCATGGCTGGAGGCTAGGAGCTCCCCGTTCTGATTTCCATAAGGTTCTTACTTTGCTTCTGCATTAGTGTTTTCAGCATTCCGCCAAGATTGCAGCATTTATTTGGCGCGTGGAACCACAAGGTTATAGGACATTTTGGGTGTTCACCATTTACCATTCAACCAACCCCTTTGAAAAATGCGCTGGCCATTTAAACAGTGTTTGCCTTTGGGAGGAATGGACCTGGTTGGACACCCAAGGAAGAGGTGGCTGCAATTCGTCTGGGAAAATGGAATCTCAAAATGTCAATCCACCACATATCCACCATGCTGACGTTTTCGGTTTTCGTTTTCTATTTTTGTTCCCTTTCGCGGCTCACCACAAACAACCACTAACCAATCTAAGAAGGAAAGGGAGAAGAGGTTGACCCAATGACCCCTGGGTTTCATCAAGGTCTTCTGGCCAGATGATTCGACACCTGACTTGGGTTTTGTGGTGATGTTTCGAAGCCTGGGGATATGATGGGTATAGGGTTTAACTTGTTTAACCGTTTTAACCAAACATCATGGAAATGCTAGCCATTTCACCATGCCGAAACTAACAATGATTTGATGAATTCCAAAGTTGTCTATCTCTGCTCCAGGTATTAAAAAAGTTTGTTTTTGTGATAATGATTTTAATTTATTATTCAGGTTTACGTCTTGAAAAATCTGCATGTTTTTTGGGATTACGGCCAATGGTCAAGGCATCTTTAACCACCTTCCGGGATGAGGATGGTCACCGATCAACATATGGAGGGTTCCATACATTGGGGTGCCCCAAAATGGGTGGTTTACAAGGGAAAATCCTTTTAAAATGGATGGTTTAGTGGTACCACATTGATGGAACCCCCCATATATTTGGTGGATTTATATGATGTAAAACATTTTTTTCATATGGAAACAAACTTTGAGATTGGTAGTTTACCATCAACAATGAGGATTGAAACACACAAATGGGCACGCCAAATTGGTGCATGGATAAACGGGTATCGATCTAAAGGTCCATTGCGAAGAGTTTGACTTGCGATGACCGTTCATATATGTTTATATCATGCTATGCGATAGTTGTTGTTGGGGTTGGCGAAGATAGTCTTATAAAATAGTTCTTTATTTGCAAAAGATATGCGATCTCATGAGGCACCATTAGTTGACATGCATAATTTTCACGAAAGTTCCGCTAGAGTTACGCAAAGAAGGGTTTGCGAATTCGAAAGTGTAGTTTTGAAGAGGATATGGCCCAATAAGTTTCGCGAAAATAAACCCAGGAGAGATCCCAATCTGTCTTGATCAGGCTGATATGGGATTCTGTGATGCTGCCATGGCACAACTATCATGAAGTATTGTAAATCTATGATATGAAAGGTGGAGACCGAGTCCTGTCTTAGTCTTCATTTAAGAGTCGAAAAGGCATAGTTGCCCCCACATTGCGTGCCTCGTGAAAGGCAAAAACTTGGAGTGCAAAAGTTTTGCATTGCGAAGCATTGCCGTGGATGAAAGACTTTGGATCAACCAGATATGTATCAAACCCACAAATAACTTTTATCAAACACTGCTGCTAAACCTTATGCTTTCCAAATGCAAATGGAGATAAAATCGCATCACCCGAACTTCGCACTCCAAGAAATTGACCTCGAAATATGAAGAATCCAGCTGTCAGGGTCTGTGTTCGGCATGGGGCTCGCACCTGAATATGCCGCAGGTTCCACTACAAATCAAGTCTAATGAACAAAAGGAGGATTCTCCCCCGGTAATCGTGACACTGAAAAATCAGCCTATTTATAGATGACTTTCCCATTAAGACTTCCATTTATGCTGGGAATTCTTCATTGATATTCTTGTTTGATTACCGGTGGTAAGAGGTTGCCAGGCTGCAAAATGGTCGGATTCGGATTCACTATCTATTTCACCAGGGTGCGTCCTTTTTGCAGGCTGATCGCAAACAAGTTTCTGCTTTGGAGTTTCTGTTTTAACGATGTTTAACCGACTTCAATTGCAATGAAACATTGTAACATGACGGAATGATTTGGATACTTTTGGAGTCTGGGCGGTTTGAAGATTCTTGGCCTCTAAGATGGCCCAGTCCCAGGAAATCAGAAGCGTCACCGGGTCTTCTGAATCCATATCCCAGTTTTAGGCAGGACTTGGGGATGGACGACTGGATGGATTTTGGTGGTTTGATGCCATTGTGCCACTGGCACCCGCTTCTTCGCGCTTCAAAATCTTCAACTGAAATCACGAAAGGTAGCTCCAGAGGGGCTACCTTGAGTTTTACTTTACGAAGTAAAGGGGAGGGCGGCCAGCCCCGTTACCTGATTCTTCAGGAGATTGCTAGTCATTTTAGTACCCCCCCCCTCCACACCTCCCACGCACCCTAAGAGCAGACTCAAAACATTGTAATTTACAGTATTTTTGTTCTTTTCGGATCAAGAAACCACATTTTGCTACATGGTGAAACCTCCGTAAATACCAGTGTTTTTGCTAGGTGCTGGCCAAAAAACACTGTAAATACCGTGCTTTTTACTACCAGAGGCAAAAAACATCGTAAATACTGTGGTTTTGGGCTTCCGACCCGCCAAAAACATTGGTATTTACGGTGTTTTTTGCTCCGAGAGTTGCAAAAACACGCGAAAACACCACCGATTTGACGATTTTCGGCCACTACGGAACCGAGCAAAAACGCTGCAGGGGTAACACCAACACCAACAACAACAACAACACCAACAGCAACAGCAACAACAACAACGACAACAACAACAGCAACAACAACAACAACATCAACAACAACAACAACAACATCAGCAGCAGCAGCAACAACAACAACAACATCAACAACAACAACAGCAACAACAACAACAACACCAGCAGCAGCAGCAACAACAGCAACAGCAACAACAACAACATCAACAACAACAACAACAACACCATCAGCAGCAGCATCAGCAACAACAGCAACAGCAACAACAACAACAAAAGCAAAAACAACAACAACAACAACAGCAGCAACAGCAACAACAACAACACCAACAACAACGCACAACGCACAACGCACAACGCACAACGCACAACGCCCAACGCGCAATGCACAACGCACAACGCACAACGCACAACACACAACACACACAACACACAAAACACACAAAACACACACAACACACACAACACACACAACAACACACAACAACACACAACAACACACAACAATGCACAACAACACACAACAATGCACAACAACACACAACAACACACACACACAACAACACACCACAACACACCACAACACACGACAACACACAACAACACA